TTTAAATTCGAATAGACTCTTAAGGCTGCAAGCAACCACTACTAAGTTGGGAGTTACTAGGAAAAAAAAGAATAGAGTTATAGAGCAAGGAAACAGTTGACAGAAGACTTAAAAAGTTGTAGGTTATATGAGTCAGAAAAACACGAAGATGGGAAAGAGTTCTAAATGATTAAAGTGCGGGGAAAAAAACTAGACAAATCAAAGTTTTTACAGCATGCAGGGACAGATACAATAAACAAATGAGACTTAGCTGAGTCAAGCGAGAATGAATCTTGGTGGATGGGACTAGATATGATAGCTCCCTTGAGCAGCAACCATGATAGTATATACATAAAAGAGAAAGAGATGCAACATTACGATAATGGGAAAGAGGCTCAAGCTTAGCAGGTTAGCATAGCGGATTCAACTACATTTACTATGCATTTTTGAACCAGCCCAAATATGACAACAATAATCCATACAGGGATGAATAAGAGATTTTAAGAGTTAGAGAGTGGAATCAGGAGTAAAAAAATGGCAAGCAATTAAAAAGAGAAGACTTTTTGTCAATACAGGAGTGTGAAGTTGAGTCATCAGCAAAAAGAGCTACTTTAGGTGTAAGGGAAGATCATTGATTTATATAAGAAATAAAACAGAACCAACGAAAGAACCCCAAAAATTATTGGAAATGAAGAAAAGTGTTGGCTTTCAAGGATTACTCTAATAAAGCAGTTAAAAAGAAACAGTTTGATAATCTCAAAAACTTTTCTAAGTACACCATATGAAACAAGCTTATGGAGGAGACCAGCATGTCAAAATTTGTCGAAAGCTTTAGATATGTCAAGAGCAATAAATCTAGCCTATCTTGTGCACGATAAAATCTTTCAATCATAGCAGTTAGCAAGTCAGCTGTAGTGTGAGAGGATTGAAAACCGTTTTTATTGTCTTATAGTAAGTTATTTGACAGTAAATTATTTGTCTGACAGTAAGTCAGAAAATTAATTTACTGTCAAATAACTTATTAAAAATGGGATGTGAGAAATTTGTTGATCAACTACAGACTCAATCTACAGACTCAAAGACCTTGCTAATAACAGAAAAAAGAATTGGAAATTAATACAAGAGGACAAAAAGTTCTCTTGAGTTTTTGAAAATTTGAAACATAGGGCTCCTTGACAATGCACACGAAAAGCACTAACAAAGACATCATCTATGCACAACATGGCACTGTTAGTACTGTGATATTATGCAGCTGTTGGTGGAATCAGCTCTGAGAGCTAACACAGAGTTCAGGAAACCTTACTACTGGTCGGCCTCAGAACCATTAAACTGAGTTTTAGAGCTGTACCCTTATTAGATGATAAAAAAAAGAGTTGCATAGCTACTTTCAAGGAGACATAAGCAAAAACCTATGAGAAGAGTCAAGAAGATCCAGGATTCATTGTCCTAGGTAGGAAACATTGTAATACAGCACATGCCACAAGGCAACTGGGCATGGGGCAGGTAGTACTGAGTTACATGATTGCAGTAGCAGGGTGATGGTGGCGATCTTAAACTTGACCAGACCTGGAGTACTTGAAAGGAGTTACTACCTGTAAAAAGTAGTTTAAAACATTAAGCATGATAGTTTCTCTTTATATTTATAAGAATCCAAAGTAGTAAAGGTACAGTGTTTTATAGCAGAATAACTGATAAGTGTTTTATACCAAGAATAGTTCTTTCAAATGTGTGAAAAATAACCATCTTTGTTTTTATAATGTATACCTCAGGCCTTCTCAAGAGACGTGTGCAGTTGCACGCCTTGAATAACCATGCATATATGTTTTTTTTTGTTGATAACATGGCCACGATTTTTTTTGCATTTATTAAAAGTGACGCATTTTAAAAACGCGCTGAAAAAATCAAACTAATTAGTCATCTTATTGGTTTTTTTTTATTAATAATAATTTATTATTATATTTATTTATGAGAAAATAAAAACCTAACAATAATGCACACATATACATATTTGTAATTAATGATAAAATAAAAAGATAAAAATAGTATATAAATGTTTATATATTTTTATTTGTTTTCATTCATTTAATAAAATTCTGGTGGTTTTTCGTTAAGTTTTTGTTTACTAAATGAATTACGTCATTAAGTAATTATTATTTCTTTCTATTTGCTTGGCAAGGTTTTAACTGAAACTTTTTATATAAGAAGAATTAAAAATTTTTTTTTTTTTTTTAATATATACATTAAAATTATTTATTTTATTGTTTTTTTTTGTTTGTTTATGTACTATTATTTTGGTTGACATATAGATGTTTAGAAAAGATTTAAATATTTAAAAATTTAACTTAGCAGCATTATAAAATTTCAATCTTATAAAAATAAAGCAATACACATAAACTTAAGAAGTGTAAATAAAAACTTCGACAAACCAATTACTCAATTAAGTAATAATAAAGATGTAAAACTAAAGTTGCTTTTGGTCTTGCGAAAAAACTATTTCCGGTTTGATAACTTTCATGAATGTTATGAAAAATCACTCAGGAAGAGTGCCACCAGTTTTTAAAAAATTTCTTTGTTAATTATTTTTAATGAATGAGTTCAATACTTATGCAATTTTTTTGTTACGTAACTCTAACTCTTAATAATAGATAAAAAAAATCACGATAACTGCTCAATAATGTAAGTGATGTAATTTAAGTAAAAAATACAGTATCAAAAAAACAAGTTTATTTAAAAAAAGTTATTATAAAAATTTTAAATTGGTATAGAATTATCTGCATTTTGTAAAAGTTTCTAATACAAACTGCTTTACTGGTTCACAGAAATGAAAACCTATAAGTTGAATTTGTTTTTTTACTTTGTTTTCCGTGTAACATAAGTGCAAGTGGCATTTTTAGTAATAAGTTTGCTCTCTTTTGGCCGGACTCAAAATTTTTAAGCTTATTTTATTTATTAGACTAACAGCTTTCATACAAAATTGCTAAAATACATGAGGTTTAATTGATGAAGCTATCCAAATACATGAGGTTTAATTGATGAAGCTATCTAAATACATGAGGTTTAATTGATGAAGCTATCCAAATACATGAGGTTTAATTGATGAAGCTATCCAAATACATGAGGTTTAATTGATGAAGCTATCCAAATACGTGAGGTTTAATTGATGAAGCTATCCAAATACATGAGGTTTAATTGATGAAGCTATCCAAATACATGAAGCTATCCAAATACATAAGGTTTATTAAATAATCTTTAGTTATCACTATTTTAAGTAGAAATTGTTTTTGAAGAGAAAGATTATATTTGAGATTTAAATGATTCATTGTTAATTAATGAAACATCTGAAGTTAGTTTAGAAACAAACGAAGAAGAAGATAAAGACGAAAATAAAGCTGAAGCAAATTCTGAAGAAGAAAACATGGAAGATGAGGAAGCATTTGAGTACGATCCTGCATTCCCTAGTACTAAATCTCTTGGGGATGTTCGAACTATTGTAAAAAAATTCAAATACAAACTTAAATTAGTCAAAGAGCTTAAAGAAAATGCTCAATCTCTTGGAATCAAATTCAAATTGCTAGTTCTTGATGTCAGAACTTGATGGAACAGTGCATTGAAAATGTTAAAAACTTTCAAAGACATGATCCCAGCTATAAAAAAAACTCTTAAATCATTTAGACATGATTGGCCTGATTATTTAGAGACGAGCATTTCTTAATTAGTAGCAACTCTTGAACCATGTAAAATGGCTGTTGATGCCCTGAGTGGCGATGATGCTGGCTTTAACATTGCAGAAAGCGCATTAGAATTTTTGTTAAAGGAATTGCGAACGAAGAAAAGTTTTATTTGTGCTCGTTTGATTGAAGATATTGAAGCATAGATTCTTAAAAGACGTCCGATCTTAACTGTTAGTCTGTTCAAATTTCTTATTCTCATCAAGTAAAGAAATTTTTGAAAAAGCAAAAAGATTCTGGCTTAAACATTTTTTTACTCCATCCAGTAATGATAACAGTGATGATGTTGTGGAAATTGCATCTGAAGCTCATCAGACAGTCAAACAGACTCCCAATGATCCTAAGTTGCGTCTTCTTGCTTCCTTAAAACATCGAACAACTTCAAACTTTGTTCCAAAGCTCAAAGACCCACCTTGAAAGAAAAGAGAATCCAATGCCTGACAACAAATCCAAGTCACTGATTCTAATGATATGACTGCTGGTGAATTTAAAAGCTACATTATGACTGGATTCAAATCAGAAAAGTTATGCATATTAGAAAATGTGTTGAAATTAATCAAGCCAACATGTGAACGAAATTTTTCAATTTCAAGCAACCACCGTAGTAAGAAATGGGAGAGAATGACAGCTGCAACTTTGAATGACTTAAGTCTTTTGAAAAGTTTTTCAAGAGGCAACAATAATTTGATAAATGTAGACAACTTATTAGTTATCAAATCAGTACTAATTCAGCTGTATTTAATTTTTAAAATGCTGACTTAAATTGAAACACTTTTAGATAAAATAAAAAAAGAAATTGGACTGATAAACACCTTAAATGCATAATTGAATGCATAGTTTATCTGCTTCTGTACAAACTAGATATGTGATGTATGTGCATTTTTTTGGTATATTTCAGTTTTGTATTAAAAAACTTTTGTATCCAGTAAAAGATTTGTGTAGTTTTAAATGGATTTATTTAGTTTTAAATGGATTTGTGTAACCCATTACTATTATGCTGTTATAACATTTTTAGCAAATATAAACATTTAAATGTTAAGCTGATAATTAAATAATTATGTTAATTTTATTTAAATGTTTGTTATTATATTAATGAAAGCAGTGTTGTTATCATTAATAATTAGTAAAATGATTATAATAGTATTTTTATTATTATTATTAATATTAAAAATTTTTCCATTTAATTGAAAATGATAATTAGTGAAACTTTAATAATGTAGTGTACATTAAATAAGTTGTAATTTTTTAAAATAAAATATACAAATTTAAATCAAAAATTATAAAATATTTTAGACACAAAAAGATTTTTCACAAAAGCAGGATTCTTCTCAAAATGAGGATACAGCAAAGGTTTTTTTGTTTATTATTACACCTTTTTTTTGTATAATTTTTTTTATAACAGTTTTAAATTATTGGTCAGTATCTTTTTTTATTTATTTAACTAAAACTTAAAATGAACTAAAATCCGCTTTTAAATTTGTCTTTATGGTTTTTCAAAAAACATAGAATGCAATGAAATAGAGATGATTTGACATTTTGTTTTTTGCAAGTAACTAACATTTTACCTAAAAAAAGGTTAAGGCATATGCATAATATATTTGATGCGTATTCTTGATGGCGTATTAATGATGGTGTATTCATGTATACATGCCTTGTTTTAAATAAAAAAATGCATAACGCAATAGCCTAATTTGAATTTGAAGTCATAAAATTCTTTTAATTTTTAAAGACATTAACTTTTTTAAATTACTGCTTTAATATTAATTACTGCAAAACAAGTTAAATGTTATTTAACTTCTTTTTTATTATTACTATAATAAAATATTTTTATTTTTATTTTTTTTAAATTAAATTTAATATTAAATTTTTAAAAATGTTTCATATTAACAAATTTCTTTCTTGACATTTGCATAAATGAATTAAAATATGTTAAATTTTGAATTTTGAAATGATCATATCTTAAATTTCGAATTGTGGCTTGATTTTTTATTTTAAAAAAATTAGCAAGTAACAAATGAAAAAAAATATGTTACTTTTTTTACTTTATTTATGAAAAGTTTGTTATTTTATTAACAATTTTGTTGTGAAAGCAAAGATTATTTTGCAAAACATCGTTTATTAAAATTATATCGCTGTATATACCGTTTATTAAAAAATTAATTGCTGCAATTAAACTTGCGTTATTAAAAAAAAAGTTTAACATTTTGTGCACATTTTTGATGCAGTCGTTTAAGATTTAGTTTTGAACAAAAAAATAGATGTTTAGGAAGGAAATAATAAATAAATGTTTAGGAAGGAAAATAATAAATAAATGTTTAGGAAGGAAAATAATAAATAAATGTTTAGGAAGGAAAATAATAAATAAATGTTTAGGAAGGAAATAATAAATAAATGTTTAGGAAGGAAAATAATAAATAAATGTTTAGGAAGGAAATAATAAATAAATGTTTAGGAAGGAAATAATAAATAAATGTTTAGGAAGGAAAATAATAAATAAATGTTTAGGAAGGAAAATGGAAAAAATAATTGCGATAAAAATGAGCTTTTTTTTTTAAAGAACAAACAAAATTTAAATATTGAAAATATTTAGTAATATTTTTAATTTGACAGTTAAGTTAAACCTAAGCATTACTTTTAAATTTAATAAACTTAAATATTTTTTAAATCAAAATTAAGTTAAATTATGTTTTTTTTTTTATCAGAATTAAATTATTTTTATTAAATTAGTTTTAAATTAAATCATATATTTTTTATCAGAATTTATTTGTGTTATTATGATTTTTGCTTTAAGCCTAAAATATTAGTGGAAAAATCAATCATTACAAAATAAAAACAAAGTGAGAATAAATTTTTAATTTTATTTGAGTTTTTTTCATTAGTAAATAGCGCTTACATATAACATAATTATCATTCAAACTTTTTTAAAGTTAGCAAATATTTTTACATAAACGTCATTTTTAAGTTAATTGCTCTACACGTAATACTTTAAAACAAGGCCTGATGTATATAAATGTTTGTCTTATCTAGCCCTCAGAATGCTGATCTAACAGTCAACATGACAGTGCCTGTGGTTCGCAATTTTATTTTGACCTCAGAATTTAAAACTTAATTATATTTGTTATTTCAAATAAACTAAAAACAACAAATTAAACAATTAATTAAAACTTTAAATAAAACAATCAAATAAAAATTGCAAAACAAATGGTTTATTTAAAATCTAAATTAGATAAAAAATAAAAACAAACAAAAAATAAAGAACGTTTTATGTAATTCAAAATAAAATAATCAGAATAAAAACTGCAAAATATTATGTTTTATTTCTAGTTCTTAATACAAATGTAAAATAGTTAAAATAAAAATGAAAAAAAAACAATTAAATTCTAAATTAAATACTACAAAAAAAACAAAAACAAAAAAAGTTTTTAAATTCCTAATAAAATAAAATGGCAAAGCAAATGTTCAATTTAAATTTAAAAAACGAACCTCTCATTTAAACTGTAAACAAAACAATTAAATTAGTAACAGAAAAATAAGCGTTAACTTAGTAATTCTCAAAATATTTAAAATAAAATCCGCAAAACTTTTGTTTATTTCTTTTATCTTAACATCTGTTTTTTCTATCACTGTTATGCAAAACATTTGCACATTTGTCAGTTTTTCGAACCCTGTTTTAAAATTTTGTGCTGTACTGATGCTAACCTAAAACAATTTTAGGTCAGCAATTTTAAGCCGGCCTCATTCTTCCTAATTCTGAGGGCTGCCTATATAAAAAATACAGATGTATGAACAATTACATTATATATATATATATATATATATATATATATATATATATATATATATATATATATATATATATATATATATATATATATATATATATACACATATATATATATATATATATATATATATATATATATATATATATATATATATATATATATATATATATGTATACATATATATTATATATTATATTATTATTATTATTTTTTTTTTTTATAATATAGTATTATTATATTATCATTTTATATTATATTATTATTATATTATACATTATATATATATATATATATATATATATATATATATATATATATATATATATATATATATATATATATATATATATATATATATATATATATATATATATATATATATATATACATTTATAGTTTTAAAAATACTAATTTATTTAGTACATTTTTCTTTTTTTTTTTTTCTTTATTTTAAAGCTGCTTCTAAATCAAAAGAATATACAGATGACACTGTTAAGTGTATCAATATATAATCAATAATATCAATAAATCTATAAATAAGTATCTACAAATCATCTATAAATAAATGTGTTATTTGCAAGCATCATCTATAAACGACACTGTGACACTACAATGACATTGTTAAGTGTTTTGTGCTTTTGAATGTTATTTTTAAACCCAGACGTTGTGGTTACCATGTTATAATTAGGACTGCAAGTTAAAAAATTATTAAATTGAATCCTAATAAATTGATTAACACTGAAAACTTTTCCACAGTGTGCCAGAATTTTTTTTTACGTTGCCAAAAGTCCCAAAAAAGTCAATTCTTCAAAAATAAAAAAATTTTCTTTTTTTTTGAATCATAGACTCTTTACTCTAATTAAAATGGTATCTGTTTAATTAGATATAAAGGCAAGCTCACTAGAATTATTTATAATGGCTTTAAAAATGTCATGTTTTCGATTAAAAGTTTTTTTTTTTAAATAGTTATCCTCAAAATCTACATAACTTTTTTAAAATAAAAATGCTCAAGACATTTTTCAATTTAAGCGCTAAGTTGATATGTTTGCTCAAAGAAAATGTTTAGGAAGTATAAGTTGTTAGGAAGTAGAAAGGTTGTTTAATATTATAAAATCAGCTGCAACTATCTTATAGATAATAGAGTTGTTTATCTTCAGCTGATAACCATACTCCATTAGCTTTTGTGATATCAAACAGTTCGTCTAATGCGTCATATTTTTCCCATTTAACACATACATCAGGGGAAGGAGAATAATAAAAATAAAATCAACTTTCTATTATTTGGACTTTTTTTGAATTTATTTAAGATGCAATGTAAATTAATGCGAAATAACTCAGTTAAGTGTATTGCAAATATATATCCTACATAAAACAATGTTTGTGAGATTTCCTCATGCAATTTATATAGCTGACAATGAAGTAATAGGCAAAGTTCCATTTATTTATTAAATTATTATACAATTCATCAAACAGTTTAATTAACTACTGTCAAAAATAAAATATTTCAACTTGATTTCCTTGAATCCTCTTTAGGAATGGTTTAGTGTTGCAAATGGGGTTTTGATAGTGCAAGCAGCCAGAAGGAGTATAAACAAGATTTTCCATCCAAAAAAACAATAATGGTGAAAACAATAGTTTAATATCTGATAAAAGCTTATTTTCAACTTGCCTTGTGCTACTTAAGTTATTGTATGGTGTTATGACGATTTGGGAAAATTGTCAGTGACTTTTTCTACTTCTAGTGCCTTTTTTTACGCTATTCTGCTGCCCACTATCAATTCCGTGTATTGCTGAGAACCCTTCAGTTTTAATGATGCTAATAACAGGCGTTGTTTAAAGCGTAAAATGATGCACCATTTATGTATGCATTAAGCCATTTAACATAAGTTGGAAGCCATTTCACTCGAGCCACTTATCTTTTTTTTAAAAATATAAAAGAATACTTTGAATAGCATATTGATTTGCTTGAGGAGGGTGTGATGATTATTGATGAAAAAACAGTTGAACCAGAAGTTAAAAAGAAGCATGTAATTGAGGCTTTGATCTAAAACTTACAATGATTGATGAAATAGTGGTTAATGCAATTTGTGAAAACAAAATAATTTGATGACATTAAGCAAAAGTCATTAATTTGAATAAAAAAATTAACATAGCCAAATATGAAGCATATTGCTTGGAATCAAACAATATTTTTGTACATTAGTACTCGTGGTTTTACATGTAAACAAATTTTTGTTTCAGTAAATAAATTACTCATTTAAAGTCTGACAATATCTAGATTTATGCTACCAATTGGAATGTACTTTGAAAAAGCAATTGAAGGTCAGAATAAAGATAGTAAAATATTTGTTTATAACACACTCAAAAATTTGATGGAAAAGCTACAATGACAGACCAATTCAATTATTTACTGCTTTCAAATGGCCCAATCATCTATATTATGCAAGATAAACATTAGAAAATGAAATAGTCTAAAGAAATCATTTAAGCGGTAAGATTATGTTTAAATGGTAAGATAAAAGAAGTAATTAATGTTATAAAAACCACTTATGAAGTTTGAATGAAAATTGCATTTGATACTAATGCTATTTACAAATTTAACAAGTTAAGAAATAGCAAAGAAATTTATTTATTTATTTTAATCTAACTTTTTCATCAAAAATATTCATCAAAGAAAGAAAAAAGATGTATGGCACATAAAAAAAGAAATCATAAAAGAAGTATAATAAAAAACTTTATCAACTTGCAAGTGCAAAAATTGTCAACTTCTTATAACAAACAATAACAAAAATAATTAAAGAATTAAAAAAAAAGTATTAGCTAAAATAAATAGTACACATCAAATTTTAATTTATATTAGCACTTCTTTTGGTATTTTAATTGTTTTTTGTTGATTTTTTTGTTTTGTTATAATGATAACAACAAAAAAAGAAAAAACATTAATTACTACAAACTTTAAATTTTTTATAATTAAATAAAAAACCTCTTCTATGGATATAACTCTATTTTTAATTTTTCAAAATAATTTTTTGAGGGAGTTTAAATAACCTTGTTATCAAAAATAAATATGCTTGCTAACATTAAATATAAATATAATTGATAACGAAGGTATCTAAACTACCTCAATATATTGTATTGAAAAATTAATAACAGAGTTTTATTAATAGAAGAAGTTTTTTATTTAATTATTACAAGTATTTATGCTAGAAGCGATATAGCTCTTGCAATGACTTTGTTTATATTTATAAGTTTTGTTTTTCAAAAAAAAAATAGTTTAGAAAAATAATATTTTATAATAGTTATGCAGGGTGAGCCAAATGAAGTCATCTAATGTTGTTTGGCTCTAATTTTTTTTCGAAATAAAAAACTTCAATTCTGTTTTTTTAATATGTTTATTTGAACCTTTACAATTTTTTTGTTCAAGTCGAGAAGATGATATCGGCCAAATGAGCGTCATTACAATTGATTGCTATACGGGCTTGTTTTATGGCATTTTTATCCTTTCGGCGACAACTTCAGGTGACAGATTCTCGCACTTGTGTCGAATGTTGTCCTTAAGTGCTTCCAGGTTCTTGGGCTTGTTCACGTACACACGGGACTTCACCTGGAATGGTGAAACTGGGGGAATTCGCAGGCCATTGCAAATCGCCAAAAAGAGAAATAAGGCGACCCGGGAATGCTGCCTTCAGAATATCGGTTGTGGCTCGCGCACTGTGTGCCGTTGCTCTGTCCTGTTGGAACCACATGTCCTCCAGTCCTAATTTGTTCAATTTTGGCAGAAAAAACCCGGTTAACATGGCCCTATAGCACGCACTGTCCACTGTTGTTGTTTGACCAGCAGCACCCTCAAAGAAAAATGGCCCGATGACTCCTTCAGCATAAACAGCACACCATCCAGTCACTTTCAGCGAGTGTAATGGCTCCTCGTCCATCACTCATGAATTTTTGGTGCCCCAGAAGCGATAGTTTTGCTTATTCACGTACCTGATGAGGTTGAAATGAACCTCATCGCTCATTATGATTTTGATCGAAAAATCGTCCACTTCATGCTCGAAATTGAGGATGGCTTGGGCGTAGGTTGCACGCATTTGGCAGTCGACAGGCAGCAGCTGATGCACAGGAATATGTGCAGGTCTTTCACCAAAATTCGCCTTAGGGACGACCGGCTGATGGCTAATTGCCAACACCACAGACGACTTGTTGCATAAAAAAAATAGACACAATTATTCCGCGTTCTTGGGGAATGTATCGCTCCATAGCTTGTTCACTTGAAATTTACATCTGTCTACTTCACAAATGTCAAAACAGATTTCACATTGGCCGCAATCTGCAAAAAAAAAAGGCATATTACAATAGGGTGATTTTTTTTGGCCCACTATGTATAATATAATTAACAGATTGTGTGTATAAATTCATTTATACAAATCTTAAAAAAAGAAAGAATTAACTCATGTTAAATGATAATAAAAAATATAATATTAAATTCAATTATTTAATATTAAAATATAAAAAAAATTTAAAGCAAAAATTTGACATATTTAAAGCCATTACGAATGAATCTAGCGAGCTTGCCTTTATATCTTGCTAATTAAACTGATGCATTTTTGAGGAGAGTAAAGGACCTATGTTTCAAAAATAAAAGAAAAAAAGTTTTAAAGAATTTACTTTTTTGGGACTTTTGGACATTTTTTATATTTATTAAAATGAAAAAATTCATTTTAATAAATATAAAAAATTTTATATTTAAATTTGTATTTAATTTATGATGGAAATTTCAAATAAATTTTTAACATTGCCTTGCTGTTTAAAAACAATTCTTTGTGCAATCATTTTGTACTACCCTATCAATGTTATTTTGGGTTTTTTCAGGTTCAAGTGCAGATGTTCTATGATGAAGATCAGAAAACTGTTTTTTTGCAGTTAAATACTGTATATGATTTTTCTCAGCTTCTAAATGTTTGTCATGCAGTCAGTCCAGAAATAAGTCAGGAAGTATATATTTTTTAATTTTTTTTTTTTTTTTATTACAAATTAAAGATATTATTATATTATTTATTAAATTTATTTATTATTTATATATTTATTAAAGGTTATCAACAAAATAAAAGTAGTGTAGAAATGTATGTAGATCAATCTACCTATATTTCTCAGATCATTCAGATCTGACTTTTACCCTGATTTTTTCTGATTTATCAGGCAGATCTCTAACCTTTACCCTCATTCTTCTGACTGACCATACCCTAATCTTAGTTGTGATATATTACTGTCTTACATAAAGGTTAGGCAACCACTGTTTTTTTTTTATGGTTTTGAGGTTTCTATGGCAACTTATTTATAGACTTCCTCCAATTTTCAAAGTCATTTTTTTAATCACACACACACACTTGGTTGACAATCATAAATTAAAGCTTTTTTTATTTATCTCTCCTCAAAGCCAAGTACACTACAGTCAAGGAGGCTGCGTTATTATTATTGCGGTTACACTCTCAGAGAGGGTATGAGAGAATTGAGAGAGTGACTCTCAATCTTTAACTCTGAAATATGAACCTTGATAAACATGGTTATTGCAGAAAAACAAGTTAAGCGCAGATCTACCAGGGAGGTGGTGTGAATTTAATGTTGAACTTTTCTAACAACTTCTTGGCAAAATCTTTTTATTATTTTTCTTTACTTAACAAAAATATGAATCACGATCTAGCTAATGTTATTCAATGGCTCTGTTCCAATAAATTATCTCTTTATTCTAAAAAAACGGAAATTGTTATACATAAATCTGTTCAAACAAAAATAAATAAGCAATTAAATTTCAGATTAAGTGGGCAGAAAATAAATCCAGTTAACTCTATTAAATATCTTGGAATCAAAATAGACTCTAATTTATCTTTTGCATCATATCTTCAAGACTTAGCATTGAAATTAAGCAGATCGAACAGTATTTTAGCTAAAATTCGTCATTATGTTAATCATGAAACTTTGCTTAATATATATTATGCTATTTTTCACTCTTATCTCAGATATGCTTGCCAAGTTTGAGGACAATCTATGCAGCTTGCTTAAACTAACTTATCTCCAAAACAAAGCTTTAAAATTAATTTATTTCCAACATACTAATTCGAACTGTAGCATACTCTATTTTTTATCTAAAGTCCTTAAATTATTTGACCTTATTCAGCTATCAAATTGCCTACTTGTTTGTAACCAAAATCATAAAAACCTACCTCTTGCATTTATCAACTTTTTTAATTATAGGGAAAATTGTAAATATATTCTATGATCTGCTTTCAACTTAAAATTATCTGTACCTAAATAACGAACTGTTCATTATGGCTACGAATCCATACAACATAAAAGCATACAAACCTGGGACCTATTACTATATTTTTATCATAATGAATATTATTATTATTATTGTTGTTGTTATTATTTTTGTTGTTATTATTATTATAACTAGTTTTATGCTATTATTTTTATAATAATATTATTGTTGTTGTTGTTATTATTATTATTATTATTATTATTATTATTATTATTATTATTATTATTATTATTATTATTATTATTATTATTACTAATATTATTATATATATACTTATTATTTTTATTATTATTTTTAATCACTATATTCACTACTATTTACTATTCTTATTATTATTATTATCTTATTTTTATTTAATCACTATTCTTACTTGTATTATTATTATTATTATTATTTAATCACTATTCTTACTTGTATTATTATTATTATCTCAATCTTATTTTTATTTAGTCTGACAGGTGTTTACTTTATATTAGTACAAATTACTATTTGTAAATATCCTTGATATAACAGTTATATTCAGAATATATTTGATTTGATTTGATTTTTCTATAAATTGTTATCTTTTCTTTAAATTTTAAAATCTGAAAGATTTTATTGTGCATTAGATGGAGGCGACAAGGCTAGAACTAATGCTCTTGATATATCTAAAGCTTTTGACAAAGTTTAGCATGCTGGTCTTCTCCATAAGCTTGCTTCATATGGTTTATCTGGGAAAGTTTTTGAGATAATCAAGTCATTTATTTCTTTTATTTAGCCGCTTTATTAAAGTCATCCTCAAAGGCTAACACTCTTATTTCCAGTAACTTCTAGGGTACCTCAAGGTTCTATCCTTGGTCCTGTTTTGTTTCTTATCTACATTAATGATCCTCCTAATAACCTTACCTTAATAACCTTATCTAAAGTAGCTCTTTTTGCTGATGACTCAATTTTATACACCTGTCTTGACAAAAAGTCGATGTGGTGGAAGTGTTGCAAAATTTTAATTGTCACAAATTTTTATTTTCGCAAGTTTGATTGTTGAAAATGTGAAAAAGAAATAGTTTCGCCAATTGTTGCATTATTGATTGTCGACTAACAGAATAAGGAATAATGTTGCAAATGAGTTTAATGAATAGTGCCAAAAATAGAAAAAGGAATCATGTTGTAAAGGAGTTTTATGAATATCAAAAACAACAAGATAATAATAACTATAAATGTGTGTTTAAATAACATGCCTGATGTCATACTGAAATAGCCTACTCAGTACATACACTAACTAGCTTAAAGCCTGCTGTCACAATTAAGTATTGCTACATTATATATGAGGGTTTGGGCTGGGGTAGCAATCTTTTCTTCCTTTATTTTTTTTTTTTTTTTTTTTGTTTTGTAAAAGCCGTATGCTATGAAGATAAATAAAACCAGTAAGCAATTGCTAATTTATATTTGACACTATTCCAAAATTCATTTTTCTACACTTCCTGTCACCCAAAAAGTCTTCTCTTTTCGATTATTTAGAACATGCAGCCAATCTTGAATCTGATCTCACTTCTATAAAAGATTGGGGCTTGCAGTGGCTTGTAAATTTTAACTCCAACAAAACTTAGTTATTTACTGCAAAAAATTGTCGCAATATGGTCATCATTCCTAATAACCACAATATGGTCATCATTCCTATGTTAATGAATGGTAACCCTCTTACTGAGTCCTCTTCTTTATGTGTTATGTGATATTTACTACCGACTGTTTATGGAAACCATATATACAATTGATTGCTGAATTAGCATCCACTAAGGTTGCTTCTCTTTATCGTGCTTGCCATTTTCTTACTCCTGATTCCATTCTCTACTTCTTTAAATCTCTTATTTATCCCTATATGAAATATTGCTTTCATTTTGTGATGATGCTCTTTCTCTTCTAGACAAGGTCCAAAAATGCATTGTAAACATAGTTAGATCCACTCCATCTGCTAAGCTTGAGCCTCTTTCCCATCATCATAAAGTTTCATCTCTTTCTCTTTTCTAGAAATACTATCATGATCGCTGCTCAAAGGAGTTATCATTGTTCAAAGGAATTATCATTGTTCCATCAACTAATATTCTCGCTTGGCTTGATCTCAATCTTTTTTGACTCGTCATTTAAATCTTAATTGTTTACTGTATCTGTCCCCTTACTCTAAAAACTTTGATTTATCTTGTGTTTTTTTTCCGCACTTTAACCTTTTAGGACTCTTTCCCATCTTTATGTTTTCCTGACTAAGAATACCTACAATTTTTCAAGTCTTCTGTCAACTGTTTCCTTGCTCTATAACTCTTTTTTTTTTCCTCATAACTCCTTACTTAATAGTGGTTGCTTGCAGCTTTGTTAGAAGTGAATTTAAATTTAAAAAAAAAAATCTTATCTTTTTTTTTAATTATTATATTTCATTTTTTTTAAATGAAATATAATAATAAAATTTTGATAATTATTTAAAAAATCAATATCAAAGTTTAGAAAAAAAGAAAAATTATAACAGGGTGTATAAAGGACAGTCAAACTTCATTGTAAATTTTAATGTAAGTATTATTTCATGGTAAGAAAACTTTAATCTAGTTTTTTTCTTTAACCATCATACTTTGGAATTTTCTCCTGTCATCATGCTTTCCCTGACTCATACAGTTTATAGTCATACACAATAAATGACCTATTAGACAGGATGCATTTTTATACCATTGAAGGAAAGCTTGATTGTAAATACAAAATTGATAATATGTACCTGTTTATTGCATTTTGATTAGAATAATATCCATTAACATTATTTTTGTAAAGTTCCTTTATATAAAATAAAAGCATTTTTTATAAATGATGATAGCTCAAAATTTGGCAGACAACAAACAGACAAAGTTGTAATTATTACCCAACAATAATTTGTAATTATGCGGTAGTGGTGTAGTGGTAGAGCACTCGCTTCATAAGCGAGAGGTTTCGAGTTTAATCCCACCATGTCCCTGGTAGCACCGCGCTCAGTTTGTTTCTCCGCGCAGCGACCTTGTTTGTTTTCGAGTTATAGAGTTGAGTAGTGGCCTTCTCGGTCTTGGGGGAGGTGAAATAAATATATATATTAACCAGCCTTACTAATAAAATCCATGATAAAATGTGTTGTTTTAAAATAACTTTAAAATATTGTTGCCACATTGCCTCAATGAACAGAGGGTATTCTAAAAGTTTGAAGAATCTATGCAAAATATTAAAACATCTTTTGTAAGCTACTTCTTTATTCTTTTATGTTCACGCATAGTGTTTTTTGACTTCTAATTGTTTTCTAATGATAAATGCATTAAATATACACACACAGTTGTGTATATACAAATACACAACTTGAAAAAACCCTCTCTTGACAATTTAATTCTGAAATAAAAAACTTTGATGAACAAGGTTGCTGTGCAGAGAAACTAGTTAGACGTAATACTACCACGTTGGACGTAATACTACCACAGTCCTGGTGAGAATTAAACTAATGCTTCTTGCCCAGAAAACAAATGCTCTAACATTAACAATATTAATTACCACATCAATTTACATTAACCTTCCACATCAATTAACTACCACATCAATTTACATTAACCTACTACAGCAATTAACTACCACATTAAATTACATTAACCTACCACATCAGTTTACGTTAAACAAAACATTTATCTGTTTGAATATTTAAATTATTTTTTTATATTGTTAACATTAAGTTATTTTAAAATTTTTAGTTAGGATTATAAAGTTTTCAAAAAATTACTTTACGTATTCAAAAACATTTAATGTTTTTGAATACGTATTTCATTTAAATGTTTTTTTAACATTTATTTTTAAAAACCGTTCTTCAATTCTATTGGCAAGTTTTTTTCATTTATTAAAAAAGTGAATTATCTTTGAAACGTTTTTATGTTTCTGTTTAATTTTTTGTGACAAGATTATTAGTAATTAAAAAATATTAAAATAAAAAAATAAAAAATTTAACCACTTGGTGTAGTTAAGGAAATTTACAAATTGTTCGAATACTTTTATTTAGAATTAGCTTTTCATGCTCTCACAGTAAAACCAAGATCATGGCTCCTCAAGCTTAACGGGTTAAGAAAGGAGAAGTATTTTAATCAATAGCAAAGTGATGCGTAGCATCTAGGTTTAATCTACTAGAGATTTTCTGCAGATTTCCTTTATCTTCATCAATAGCAAGAATAAATCACTTATTATCTCTTCTGTCAATGTATATCTCATTTTATTTGTCTTTTCAAAGTCATTTACAATTACTTTAAGAAATCCTTGACCTTTATCAATGGATACACATACCATACTGGAGTGAAGATCTAAGCCTCTTTCCATTAAAATACTAAGAATAAATTTCATGACTAAACACCCCTTCATGACTATATAACCCTTGATACAGTTTCATCATTCTGAATAAAATTAGTTTGAGTATTTTATGTTTAGAATAAAAAGATAGTTGTGATGTCATCACGCTAGTTTATTTTTAACAACAAATTCCGGTGAAAAAAATAAAAATACTTAAATATAAAAGTAAAAAATTCCATATTCTTCTGCTGACTTAATATCAATTATTTAATTTGAGTTTTTTCCAGATCACTGTTTGGAATAATATCTGATTAAAAGAGAAGATCTAGAAGATTTATTGTCTTTAATGGATTTCCACCTTTAAAATAAAAGATATTTATTTACCTTCAAATTAACTTTTCAATACTAATTTTTAAAAAAGGTTGTTAGCAATCAAAATGATTGCTTAGTTATAATGTGCCTTTAAATTCTATATGAGCATATAATAACCTAAATTTTTTTTTAAATTTTATTTATGTGCCTCAAGATGTCCTTACGGTCTTATCACAAAGCACCGTGGATGAGCGTTTAATTGGAAGCCTCCTTCCTAACCGTTGTTGCAAAACTTCCCCAGAGGTTGGGGTTTGAACCATGGATACTTTGTTTTTGAGGCTAGTGCGTACCACTGTGCCACAGCTGCTGCTGGTCAGGTTAGAGCTTAAATCAGGGTTAAATCTTGAAAGATTGCAAATTATATGAATCAGGAAAGCAAGATGAAGGAAGCGAATTCCAAAGAACTGATGTTTGAGGAAAAAAACTAGACGAATAAGAGTTTTTGGAGCACTTAGGAACAGTAACAGAATGACTAGCTTTTCTGATCAACTTTTTTTTGTTTTGGATTTTATTTGAGAAATACTTCTGCAAACTAAATTTATTTTTAAAAGAAAATTCGAGCCTGACAGCCTTTATAGTTCACAATGTATTTGAACCTGACAGCCTTTATGGTTCACAATGTATTCGAACTTGACACCCTTTATGGTTCACAATGTATTCGAACCTGACCTTTATGGTTCACTATGACACTTTGTTATGACTCACACATAAAGTTCTAAAGATAAAAGTTTTATTTATGAACATAAATAAAAGTTTATAAACATAAATAAATATTTACTTATTAACATAAATAAAAATTTGTTATGAACAAATAAAATTTTATGAATTTAAATAAGAATTTATTTATGAACATGAATAAAAATTTTTTTATAATATTGTTTTTTAATGTTTTTAATTTAATTTTTTATTTAATGAAAGGTTTGTCTTTTCATTTTTATTATTTTGTTTAGTATTTATATAAAACGTTGTTTATTTTAATTTTTTTTCAATTTTGATTTTAATTATTTTATCTAGAATTTAAATAAAACTTTCATATTGCTCATATTCAAATTAGAATTTATTAAAAGCATTCTTTTTGCTGTTCATATTTTAATTTAAATTGCAAATAAAGATGAATATTTTAAAGTTGTTCATGTCAGCTTAAAAATGACCATCTAGCCAGTACTTTTTAACAAACAATTTTAAACAGAGAAAACTGATATAATTAAAAATTTTTTAAAAAACAATAACTTTTAATGTACTTCCGCATTAATTTAATTGCTTTGACATTTCGACGACAATCAAAAACAGCTTAAGAGACGAGGTAAATAAAATTGTAGTCGAAAGAGACTTTTTTTACATTAAAAGACTCTTTCGACTACACTATAAGGATATATATATATATATGTGTATATATATATATATGTGTGTATATATATATATATTGGCTTGCGTATATCTTTTAGAGAGCGCTCGATAAATTAAAATAAATTTAAAAAAATTAAGCTAAAACAGAGCTGTATTTATATATTTTTTATAAATAAAGCTACATACTTTTGACAACTATAAGTTTCATGCTAAATGCAAACATCAGGTAAAAATTCTTATTTTTTTGAAATTTGAAATCTGAATAGAAACTTTTAGTTGTAAATAATATGTAGTTTTATTTATTTATAAAAAATGTACTTATGTATGTGTAAGTGTATATATATATATATATATATATATATATATATATATATATATATATATATATATATATATATATATATTCATTTAATTCATTCTTTTTTATTTTATAGGGTAGACATCATTACTGGCAAAATCAAATTTTGAAAGATGCTGCTGCAATATTATTTATTTTTTCAGTCTCCCATATTGTAGTGGTAAACTTTTTTTTTAATTGTTTGAATAGTATAAGTCTTTAAAATTTATTTTCTTGTTATATTATAAAACAAGATTTTATGAACTTTATATATAAATTTATTTATGTATGTATGTATGTATGTATATATATATATATATATATATATATATATATATATATATATATATATATATATATATATATATATATATATATATATATATATATATATATATATATATATATATATATATATATATATATATATGTAAAAACCTTTCTTGTGATATTAGACCTAAAATTGTTGGGAAAATTTTACAAAAAAAAAAAATTAGACCAACTTTATAGCAAATTTTAAACTGATGAGAAAAATAAGCAAAAAAGCATGTGCATATTTGCACATATAGTGTACAAAGAGAATATATATATATATATATATATATATATATATATATATATATATATATATATATATATATATATATATATATATATATATATATATATCGTTGATCGTTAAATCAACTGGTCATTTCCTTTTTTGGTCTTACAATCCATGCTCACTAAACAATACAAAAAGAGATGAACTCGTTTTGAGGCTTGCCTCCATCCAAATAATAACTGGCCACATATCATGTTTTTCTCTGAAACCTGGTCTAACAACAACTCAGTCACGGTAATACCGGGATACCAACTGCATCACTTAGATAGATACTGCAGAGGAGGAGGTGTTGCAATCTATGCGCAAAATGAAATTGGCGAACACTATACCTGCTTATAGTTTCAGTCATGCCTTAAGGAAAATTTTCTTACTCAATGGTTTCTCTCCCAACATATCAAACAAATCGAAATTTACCACCAAAAAATACACAATCTCATTATCACGGACAATCCTGATCGAATATCTGTGTCAGAAGGAGATCCACTTGGGTTAACCCCAACGGTCAAGCTCATTGTTTAATTATAGGTTCTCTTGTTGTGACAAAACATTATATAACCAGTACAAATGAAACGAGATTAACATGGAATAAAGCAAACTAGGAAGCAATTTCAAGGCAAATCTCTGCATACAACTGGAAAGCGATGTTCGAAGGTTTTTTTGCAAACAACAACTACGAGCTTCTTGTTGCAAAATATTTTGAAGCGGTTAACAAGTATGTTCCCTCTACATCAGTACCTTTTGTTACCAAAAAGGCTCTCTGGGTTACACCTGAGGTAATCGAAGCCAGCAAACAGAAACAGGTGTTATGGCAGAAATATTTAACAGCGCACAGACAAACTCACAAATCTTTAATAGAACAACACAGGATTGCAAGCAAAAAAGTTGTGAAGTTGGTTAAAATAGTTATACAAAACTATGAAGAAAAACCTGTCAGAGACTCAAAGTTTGACCAAAAGAAGTTACATGCACATATTCACAGAAAACAACGTGTAAAAGATCTAATACGAACACTTGAAACAGCCAATGGTACGACAACAATCGATCACCAAACAATATGTTTGCACTAAATGATTACTTTGAATCAGTTTTTAAAATTGAACTACTTGGTGACATGCAAGTCTTTGATAATCGTACAAATGATGTATGTGGTTTTAGTGAAAATGATATCACTCTTGATCAAGTGGAGGCGAAACTTAAGGGTCTAGTAAAAACTAAATCGATGGGCGTAGATGGCATTCATCCACGTGTACTAAGCAGGTTTGCTAAAGTCTTCGCACTACCAGTGGTTCTAATATTCAAACATTCTTTTTCAAGCAGAGTTGTGCCTGATCTGTGGAAGAAATCAAGCGTGTCACCAATATTTAAGAAAGGTAGTAAACTTAAAGCGTGCATTTATAGACCAGTATTATAAACGTCAATACTCTGTAAAATCATGGAGAGTTTAATTCATAATAGTATTATGAACTTTGCTAAAAAATTTATAAACAATTTTCAGCATGGCTTTGTTCGGGGTAAAAGTTGTCATCGAACCTTTTTGAAACCCATGACATTCTAACAGAGGATCTTGGTTATGCTGCTGATGTCATCTACACAGACTTTTCCAAAGCCTTCAACAAAGTTCCTCATTATAGACTTCTTCAAAAGCTAAGTACATATGGTATCCAAGGTAAACTTTTAGCCTAGATCAAATCTTGGCTCATAGGCCGAAAACAATGAGTCGTCTGCGCTGGACATAAGTCGGATTGGAAAAATGTCAACAGCGGCGTACCATAGGGATCAGTACTTGGTTCACTATTGTTTTTACTATTTATTAATGACCTACCAAACAATGTTGCTCAAATGATAAAATTATATGCCAATGATAGCAAAATTATAGCAATAATAAAATCAGATGACGACAGCAAATCTCTTCATATTGCATTAGATGATGCAGTAGAATAGTCACACAAATGGCTTATGTTCTTTAATATTGAAAAGTACAAAGTTATGCATTTTGGACTAACGAACAAATATGCCCATGAATACATGATGGCAAATATCGATGGAACTAAACAAAAGTTATCTGTTACAAAAGTTGAATGCGATATAGGAGTTCTTATTTCTAATAACCTCAGTGTCAGAGCACAGGTAGAAGCAGCAGCCGCAACTGCGAACAGTATACTAGGGCGCCTAAAAAAGGCATTCCGAAGTCATGGTTTTAATCTTTGGCGTACCCTCTACAATACATACATTAGGCCATATTGCATTTAAACATCATTTAATGTAAAACAACCGCTGTACCGCTGCAGCAGGTATCGTCAAAACCGAAGAGCATTATTCCCTCTTTCTTGTCAATTTTTATTACCATATTTTGTTGATTAAAATAACAAACAATCACAACTTTTAGGTTGCATTTGTGTTTATTTTATTTTACTTTAACGACTTGTATTTAATAATAATTGATAACTGAATAAATAAATTCAAATTCATATATATATATATATATATATATATATATATATATATATATATATATATATATATATATATATATATATATATATATATATATATATATATATATATATATATATATATATATATATATAAATTATTTACCTCCCCAAGGCTGATAGGGCTACCTCAGTTGAGGAGGCTACTTTTTTGGTTACAACCCTCTCTCAACTCTATAACTCCAAAACACGAACCTCAAGGGGTTCTAAGTCATTTACTTTAAATTTACTATAAGTAATAAGTACACTACTATGTTTGGTCTTTTTGGTAAATTAAAAGTAGTACACTAATGATGGTACACTTATTTTCAAAATGTAATAGTTATACAAAGTTACACAGTTATAAAACATTTAAATAAAAATTAAAATTTATGATCAGCAGCTAAAAATATAAGATAATAAAACTTTTATTTTAGATTTTATTTCCCACACCACGGTTTGATTTATTTTATATTCGATTGTTCAAGATGTTAGCTTCAGCCAGGTTTTATCTTTTTACTTTTTAAATAAAAATTTTTGTTAAACTTAATATATTTTGTTATAAGTGTTCATTTTAGTTTTGTTTAACTTTTGTTTGATATCCCTTTAATATCCCTTGTTTAATTAAATCATAATAGATTACTTAAAAATTTATTAAGCATAGTGCAAGTTTACTAAGCATAGTGCAAGTGGCCGACAAAAAAGAATTGAGTTATTTTAGTTAAATTTTATTAAAGTGGTTTTAGTCTTAAAAAATACAAATCCTAAAAATGTCTTTAGTGTTAATAATATCCTAGAAAGTGCTATTGAATATTAGTGTCTTTAGTGGCAAAAAATATCCTAGTGGCAATAATATCCTAAAAAGTATTACCCATAAGGATCATTGACTTTTTTGAGAATGGTCTTGGTACTGCAGTATTAAAGCTTCTATTTGTTGTACTATGCTGAAAATTTTTATTAGAGCATCTAGGGTCAATCATCAACAGATAACAAGATTATGTAACAGCACACATTAGAGGATCATTGGTTTTTATTAATTTTGACGGAACATCCATAATTTTGACTCTTTATAGTCTATCTATAGCTATCTACAAACTAGTTATTAAAAAAGGAATTTTTTAAAAAATTGTTTTATCTACATCAAAATAAATATTTTTTTTGATTGAGAAGAGTTTCAATCAGTAATTTTGATGAAATGCAATGATTCTGATTTTATTAATTATTATTATTAAATTTATTAATTTTATTTGTTGGGAAATAAATATTTACAATTATGTTTTACCTTGGATTATTATTTGGCTCTTCCTGGAATTTGATGGAATGAAATGATAGTCTAAGTGGAATGAACCGAACATAAAATAAAAAACTGAAAAGATAAAAAGGGTAAAGAACAAATCTAAACAAAAACAAGCAGAACCAGAGCAAAATAATACAAAAAAAAAAAAATGAAGCTGCACACAACAATCTAAGAAAAAATAACAACTACACTGTAACCATCAGTTTTTACTAAACTTCAATTATCAAAGTGATTTAGATTCTTCTATAATCTCATTTTTCAAATTTTTAATATAATACCTAGAATAGTACCATAATAATATAATACATAACAAAAAAAAAATTTAAATTCTGATGGTCTGGACTAGAGATAATCAGTGTGGCTAGCTTGCTTAGCCCACCTAGTTCGTTTTTAGATGGTTTTTTTTAATGGTTCTGCACTCTTCAATCCTATATAAAGTACCCAAGCCTGTATAACAATGCCAAAAATAGGAAATAAAAGTAATAAATGGTTCTCAGTAATTTTCAAACTTTCATCTAATCACTTTTATGTTAGAAGAGATATTTAATTGTTGTGGAATAGTTTATACTTTATATAAAAGATGGTGTGTTGACATTCTATTTCTAGCTTTGTGAAAAGATATATGTATGCATATATGTGTGTAAAAATACTAATACACATGCATACTCAAACCTTGATGTTTTCTAAATTTTCACAGGTAGTTTAACATTTTTAACAAGATTAATGTAAAAGAGCTTATGAAAATTTAAAAAACACAAAAGTTTTCACCTTATGTTATCAAAAATGTGTATTTTTATTTTTGGGAACATAAGATGACATTTTTTGGCTTATTTGAAATGGTATGATTTTTATACAAAGAATTTTATAAAATTCAAAGAAGTATTCACACATAGCAGATGTAATTGCTATATGTAAATCAATCAATTGATCATCGGTGATGTTATTGTAGATAAGGATCAAGTTGATTTCTATTGGTGCTAAAAAAGTTTGAGGGATTAAAATGATTTTGATCTTTCTAAACGGTGGAAATGGTTGTTTAGACTCCGCAGAACGGTGGAAATGGTTGTTTAGACCAGACAGAATGGTGGAAATGGTTGTTTAGACCTGGCAGAACGGTGGAAATGATTGTTTAGACGGAATGATGAGTTAATGATAGTTTTATTAGATTATTTAGATTATGCTTTTTTTCCTTTTTTTTTTTTTTTTTTTTTTTTGTGGTGTCAAATAACATATATTCTATTGCCAAGTGGTGTTTGTGATGTTGCCAAATAATGTTTCATGTAAATTTCTTTTGATGATTAGTATGTTTATTGTTTATTCCATTGAATGGCGCTATTGCAACATTTTTGCATTTTTTTTTACAAAATATTGAATGTAGGGTGTCATCCAATTTTTAAAAATTAAATAATAGGGCAAACTGACCAATTAATGGCCACATCTTTTTTTAAAGGCACTCTGAACACAGTAATATTGTCAGATTTAAATTTTTTATTGCTATACTTAATAATAGACATTCTTTTAATTTATTTTGAGTAATTGTTACCAAAGTATAAAAAAACAACAATGTAAACAATTCATTTGAATTAAAATTTTGAATAAACACCAATTAATGGCCGGGTTGACTAATTATGAGCCAGTTCACTTTTTATTGAAATATTAGATTCTACTAACTTTGCCACAGGTTAAAATGTTGTGAAAATAATTTAATTTTAATAAGATTTATAATGAATAAAAAAAAAAAGGCTTTAAAATGTAAATAATCAATATAAACTAGTTAAATATTGATTATTAACTGTTACACATCAAATTTTTAAAATTTTTTAAACGTTATAATTACTCAATAAAAACTAGCTTAGACATAAGTACCCCTTCAACAATGGCCAAAATAAATTATTTGTAAAACTGTATATTGATTCAAAGAAATTTTAACAATCAAAACTCAAGAAATACATCAAAAAGTACTAACAAAATTTGATAAAAAATATTAACTTGTTCACTTATTAATAACAAAATCAATATGTTTCAGTTGCCTTTTTAATTCTCTGTCCTGTTGCAGTTTTAATCTCTTTTCTTTTGCATCAAGTTGCTTCAATTTTTTTATTTTTGCAGCCTCAACTTTTTCCTCTTTCTTTTTTAGATCATTTAACTTGGCTTGCATAGCTTCAGGAGAAGTTAGAACAAAATACTTTTGTTTAGTATTTCTATTGTTTTTTGACTTATTGACATAAAAATTTGGGTAAGAGATAACATCATGATCATTGTCAATGGTACTTTTCAGTGAATCTGTTTTAACAGATATTGGACTAGAATAATCAACACTAGTATTTGGTATAGAGACAGAGTGAATATCAGTTTCTTCTGATAAAGCAATTGTTTCAGCAGCTTCTCTTAATGAGAGATCAAAAGAAACATCACTGATTGCATTCTGGTTTATACGAAAGTCTTTGTATGCTAAATACAAATTGTCAGAAATATCAAAACCATTTTGATAACAGAAATTAAAAGCAGTCAGATGCTCTGGAGTTAAACAACTATTCCATAACATTAATGCTGTGTCATTATCCAGCTGAGCTAAATCTACATTCAGAATATCTGATCCAGTCAAAGATGCCTATAGTTTCAGTTGTATCAACATCATTAATAAAAGTACAATTTGAATTAGGACCCACCTGTTTTTCAAAAGCATTGTTTAGTGATATTCCAGATTGATAATTTATGGTATCATTTTTGAAGGAATCAAAACTTGATTTAAGCAAATTCTCATTCCCTAATAACTGGTCAGAGTAAAGTGAATTGGGCAAGTAGGCCTCATATGGAATTGCAGAAGGATTATAGGGAAAGATACCACATGATTGAAAACCAGAAATAATGTTAGTGGCAGTTAATGCTTGATCCCAAGCTTTCTTCAACAATCCACAGAAGTTAGACTTATTGATTGTAACAGAGTATGTATTCATTAAATCATGACAACAAGTATTGTAGTAAGTTTTCAAGGGACCAAATACAGTACGATCTAATGGCTGCAACCAGTGAGAACAATGTGCTGGCATCTCAACAATTTCAATGTTGTTGTCAATAGCAACAGATAATAACTCAACTGAATTGTGAGAATCATGACCATCAACTATTAAAACATGGGGCCTGTTAGTTCCAATGTTTGGCAAAAATGTATTTGTAAACCAAAGGTATGCTATTCCTTGTTTTGTCCATCCAGTCTTACTAACACTCCATTTTGAACCAACTGGTGCATCACTTGTATTAAAAGCTTGAAGTGATTTTATTGTTTTACCTTTTGGTATTAGATGTGGAGGTATAGTTTTACCAGCTGCATTCACAGCAGCAATTACAGTGATGGTTTCCCTTTTTCCTGAAGTACGAGACTGAAGATGTTTGGCACCCCGTGCTGCAACAATTTTGGGTGGTTTAAAGTCTAATTGAAGTCCAGTCTCATCCATATTCCAAATTGAAGAAGGCATAACATGAGTACCCAACTTATTAAAAACTTGTTGAAGTGCTAAAAAATATTTAGAAACTTTTTGGACTGACATGCATTGATGTCGAACAGATGATGTTCCTTCAGGTTTTCTTAAAACCATAGTCTTATGTCGTTGTTTAAATAACCGCCACCATTTTTCTGATGGGGTATCATGTTTAAAATTTATCTGGTGTTTCTTACTAAGCTGTGAGACATATTTCATAAATTGTCTTTTCCCAAACCCAATACCGCGATTTGCTCTAGATGTGGCATAATCAACTAACTTTTTTTCTATATGATTTGGTAATTTTGGTGGAGGTCCAGGTTTAACTCCAATTAAGGAGTCTCCTTGAAGATATTTTCCTAGTGTTGCTCTGGGAATTTTATATTCAATAGCTGCTGATCTTTGTGATAATGAACTACTTTTAACTGCATTAATGGCATTTTGCATGTTAGTTTTTGACAATTGAAAACGTTTAATTTTCTTCATAATTTTGTTATTGCTAAAAAAAAATATACCAAAACAAATTCGACTATTGAAGAATATGTATACATTAATCGAATTAAATATAAGAATATTATATATATATATATATATATATATATATATATATATATATATATATATATATATATATATATATATATATATATATATATATATATATATATATATATATATATGATAATAATAATAACAATAATAATTTAAATCATTAAAGAACAGAGCATAATTACCTTAAGTAAGCTTAGTACTTAGGTTAAAATACTTTGCTTTTTTAATAGTCTGAGTTTTTCAGAGATATTGTTATTATTATATTGTTTTGTAACAGTCTTGTTTTACCTTACAAATGAAAGAAATAGGTATTTGAATAACTAAGTGAGTAAATTAAATAAATTTCTTAATATTATGTTTGTATTAGCACAAAAAATAACTAAGTTTACAATAAAAAATAAAAACAAACAAATAACATATAGGTAATATTGAAAAATTGTAATGGCTACAAATTGGTACATTATACGGCCAATAATTGGGCGATGTGAGTGGTGCTATACAAAGCCTTTCAAAATTCTAAAACTTATTGTTTGCAGTTCAACAAAGTGTTTAAAAGATAAATGTATGACTTAAATTTTAAAATAAACGTTCTTAAATAACTGAACTAAAAAAATGCATCATAAAAACTATTTTAAATATGTTTAAAAAATCCAAAACCGGCTACTTTTCTCCCCAAAAAAAGCGATATCTTTAACATAATATAAATATTCTATTTATAAACTGTAGCTTAAATATATATATTGCATATTGTTTATAGTACAAATAGCTGAAGAAAAAATCCAAATATTTGATCAACCTGTTTAAAAAATCTTTGAAAAGAGCCCTCAAAAAAGCGGCTCTTAATAGGACGTGGCCACTAATAGGTCAGTTTGCCCTATGATGTAAAAGTAAATCTGTAAAAAATATACATACTATTTATAAATATTCTATTTATTTTAATTATAATTATTGAAAATACTATTTATAAATAGTATGTTCAATAATTATAATATTTATGATAATGATAATAAAGAGATTCAAATTTAGTTCAGAGATTTATGAAAGTTAAATAAGAAATTCAAATACTTACCGTGTCCACATCTACAATCCCTCATGAGTTATTAATTAAAAATGTCCAAGTTGACTCTTCCAATACTATACAGAGTATAATACTATTTTGATGGTTTTCTAAATTCTGTTATTGTTGTGCACTCAGTTTAGAATGTTTAACCAGGGCGTGGTAAAATAGTTGTAAAACTCTAAATTTCCTTATTACCTTTATAATGAGTAAGTTTGACAATATTTTATTTTAAAAATATATATATATAGTAAAATGATTTGTTTTAAATATAAAATTAAAACTTTTAATTATGTTCTTAATCAAAACACACTTTTTAAACCCCCTGGTTTTAAGAAAGTTAAGAGGGCCGCGTTGCAAACTTAAAACATCAGTTTGCTTTTTTTTTTTTTTTAATTTTTGTTATTTAAAATGCAATATAAAACAATTTTTTAGTTAATTATATAGTATATTGTATTTAAAATATATATACATTATTAATGGTATTTAAGTATATATACATATTACATTCTCTTTTCTTTTAAAGAACTAAACTTATTTGTAGAAAACTTAAAAAGTGTAAACCTTTAAGAAACTTTACTTTTTCCATATCTTGAAAATTTATGATATTTGCATAGGCTTTCGTTCAAATTTTCTTATAAAATTTTCTTATAAAAAAATGTTGAGTTTCTTTTGCTGAGAGTTTTTTTTCTCTCTATTATCTTGTATTCAATTGTTGCTGTGGGTTTCGTGCAAGCACACACAAACGAGCATTAATACTACTACTATGTTCAGCAATAATATATAGTGATTATTTGTCAAACTTTTAATGAACAAAAAAAAAGAAAAATGAGAGAATAAAAAAACGTCAATAAAAAAATTTTCATTTTATTTTTTATTTTTTGTTGAATACTCAAGTTTAAATATAAAAATTTATTTTCAATTTCCATGTTTGAAAAGCATAAATATGCTTTATAGTTTAATGCTTAAAAAATATAAAAAAGATGAATAAAAGGAAACTATTTTCAATTTTTTCTATTTTTTTTTTATATAAAAAATTTGAAGTTTGTTTGTTTATTAAGAGCTAATTGTGGCCTTAAAATTTTTTTCAAATGAAGTTAAAAAAAAATTCTTTCTTAAGGTTAGAAAATATTTGTTGACTCATTTAAAAAATAACTTACAATAAACAGATTTATTTTATTTATATAGGTATTCAATGCTTCATAGCTTGTCTCAGGCATTAGCAGTTGTAGAAACAATACCAGAGATTTGGAGAAGTACCGGTAGACCTTGTATACCAAGAATTATTTTCTCATTTCAAGTTAGAAATGTTTCATTTTTATGAATTTTTTTTTACATACATACATACTTACATGCATGCATGCATGCATACATACATACATACATACATACATACATACATACATACATACATACATACATACATACATACATACATACATACATACATACATGCATGCATATGTATATATATATATATATATATATATATATATATATATATATATATATATATATATATATATATATATATATATATATTTGTGCAAAGTTGTTAAATATTTTGGTATATGAGATGCTTTATGTTTTTGTTTATATAAAGTTCTTTTTGTAGCTTAAAAAAACTTAAAAAAAAAGTGAATATTTAAAAAGTTTTTATCTTTTGTATCTTAAAAAATGTATTATCTTCAAAATTTGTCAGCCCTGGTGTTAAAAATAAATATTTACATAGTTTTTATGTTTTTAGACATGGTCTTGTTATTAAAATGCATTAAAAACAAAGTTTTTTATTGATCAGGAAATTATAGGAAGCAAACGGGCTTTGATACATTCAAGTTTATTTTTTTAGAAATATTATGTAATGAATTTGTTTATTCTATTTTGAATTATGTGTATGTTTATTTAAAAGTATTTATTATGTATTAAAATACATGTAGTTTTCTTTGTATTTTTATACTTAAAAGTAAACTTAGTTGGTTACACTTTTTTACAGAGTTTATCTTTTTTTTTTTCTTTTTTTTTAATTGATTTTTTTTAATTATTTTACGATTAAATTTTTCATATTTAAAATGGAGGGGAGTGTGAGTGTGTGTTTCTAAGGATTCATCCCCCCATCCTACCTTATTTTATTGGTAGAATCACCTCTGATTTTACTATTATTATTATTTTTTTTCATTTAATTTTTTTTTATCTTTTCTACTTTTTTTTATTATTTTATTTTTATTGTTTTTTGTCTATTATTATTTTGCATTTATAAACCTGTAAAGTTAGTTTGTACTCAAAATTTACAAAGTTTTCAAAACTGCTCCTCCTCCTTTCTTTTTTTTTTTAATTTTTGAAGTTTGATTTTCTGCTATTTTGTTGCATTTTGTGTATATTTAGTAATTGTTGTAAGTGATTGCAAGTGGTTGCAAGTGGCTGGTAGTCCAGGCCTAGTGATGTCCAGTGATAGTTCAGTGGTTATATGTCCAGTCATTGCAAGTGGTTGGTGGTCCTAGTGATGTCCAGTCCAATGGTAGTCAAGAGGTTTGTGGTCCTAGTGATGTCCAATTCAATGATAGTCTAGTGGTTGGTAGTCCTAGTGATGAATAAAAAAATGCTGTATAAGTCTAATAGAATTTTTGGCATCATAAATTTCTTTTTTTTTGCTTTTCATATTTAATGACATTACCTTTTTTGAATAATATATATAATATAATATATATATTAATATTATATATATATATATATATATATATATATATATATATATATATATATATATATATATATATATATATATATATATATATAGGCTTGGACAGGAATGGCATGCGATCGAGTGCTATTGCTGACCACGCAAATGATTTTATTTTTTGACAACTTGACCACGATTGTTTAATAAACAATGTTTATATGTTTTGATGATTTAAAAATTTCAGAAATGTCTTTCTGAAACGCTAAGCTAAACTTAAACTAGGAAAAAAAATTTAAAAAAAAACTAACGAAAAAAGAAACAAAAAACAAATTCATAACGAAAAAGAAATCATATAAGCACTAAAGTGAAAATAAAGACTTAAACTCGACGCAAAACGTTTTTAAATTAAGTAACAAATTACTACTAATGAATGGTTTAATAAAAGAACAAATTTTGTTAAACTTATTAAAAAGTGTTTTATATAATATTTTTAAATTGTATAAACATTTATTTTGACAAAAAAGTTGCAAAAAAAAAATTGTTTAAAAAAATAACGTAGTCTTTTTAAAATAGCAGTTTTTACTAGTTTCATGCTCTAATTAGTGAGTCTAATTAAAAAAAAAGGTTTTGAACTTTTTTATTCATAAAAATAGAAAAAAATAAGTAAATAAATAAAATGCGCCTGCGGTTTAAATAAATCAAACTGCCAACAAGCTTTTTAATTTAATTTTAATTTGAGCATTACAACTTTATTAATAAGCGCTTCGCGAAATGAATTTAAAAATTATTATAAAAGATTTAATCTTATTCATTTCTAAAGAAATTAAAAAAAAAATTGATTACAAAAAATAAAATGTTTATTTAAAACATTTTAAAAAATTGTAAGTTTAATCATAAAAACTAATCATATGAACATTACAAAATGCTTTTAAACTTTTTCATTAAATCAACAAAATACATGCTTATATAAGTAAATAAAGTTATTTCATATTCTTGTGTAATTCACATAAAATGTGTAAAAGTTAGTAGTCACAAAATTTTTTGAACTTATTCATAAATTAACTAGCAGTAAGCAACCCGTAATACGCGTTGTTAGTAAATAAAATTAAAAAAAAAAACGCGTATAGAAAAGCCTAGAAACTACTTTAAAATAGAAAAGCCTAGAAAATGATGTAACTCGACTAATAATAATATTAAATTAGCTTATTCATATTATCAGAAGTAACTTAAAAAATTATTTCTAAAAATTATGGTTTAAAAATGTTTTAGGAAGACATAAGAAAATAGTTTCAAACGTTTAAATTTATCATAAAAAATAGATGCCTACATAAAAAAAACTTATTTGTAACGTTTTTTATTAATTTACACAAGCGTTTATGTAAACAATAACTATAATTAATTATATGGTTTTATTTAAAGCCTTTGCATAAAATAAAAAACTTTAGAAAAGATCAACGATTAAAAGATATTTATAACGTAACATTTTTTTTATTACATTCAAATTGTTAAAACATCAAAATAGCCGTGGTCAAGTTGTAAAGAAATAAAAATATTAGCGTGGTCAGTTACAGAGTGCGATCGCACGGCATTCCTGTCCAAGCCTATATATATATATATATATTTATATATACACACTCATAAATTATATTTCAAGCATACTTTTGCTAAAATTGAACTTTTTTTTTTTCATTTTTTTTTTTTTTTCATTTCTTTCATTTACTTAGAAATAAAAAAAATTAACAAGTTTTCTTGCTAATTATTTTGATAGAAAAAGTTTTATAAAGGTTTTATCGAAATTCAAACTATTTTACTTTATTATATGAGTTAATTATTTTTCAAGTGATTAATATTTGTTGGAAGTGGTTGGCAGTGAATGGTGTAAGTGGTTGGCAGTGAATGGTGGAATTGGTTGGCAGTGAATGATAGAAGTGGTTGGCAGGGAATGGTGGAAGTGGTTGGCAGTGAATGGTGGAAGTAGTTGGCAGTGAATGGTGGTAGTGGTTCGCAGTGAATGGTGGAAGTGGTTGGTAGTGAATGGTGGAAATGGTTGGTAGTGAATGGTGGAAGTGGTTGGCAGTGAATGGTGGAAGTAGTTGACAGTTAATAGTAGTCATTGAAAGTGGTTGTATTAAAATTCATTAGTAGTAATAAAATAGTAGTAAACTAAGTTTTTCTTTTAGATATCTCTTTAGATATTTTAGATATTTCTTTAGATACCTTTTATGTTTTTAGATACCTTGGAAAAATGCAAAAGGATTAAATGAGGTTTGCATAAACTCTTTGTTACATATGTATTAATACATTGTTTTTTAAATTAGTTTTACAAGTGATATATATACAAATGGGTATTGTATATATTCTGCGCTGAGGCGCTATCAAAATAATGTTACTTAAATACCTTTTTCATCAGTCATTAAAAAGGTTAACCTGGGCAAGAAGCATCAATAAAGAGATCGTTTAATTGTTTTATTTTATTTTATTTTGAAATATATATTATTAAATAAAAAATGCTTAAATTTAAACTTCAAAATGCTGATTCGAAACGTGATTTGAATCCCGAATCAAAACCTGCTTTGATTCAAGATTCCATTTGAAACAAAAACTGACGATTCGCAGGGTCCTAATATATTATGCGGTAGTGGTGTAGTGGTAGGGCGCTCGCTTCATAAACGAGTGGTTCTGAGTTCGATCCCCACCACGTCCCTGGTAGTAGTAGCGCTCAACTCGTTTCTCCGCGCAGCGGCCTTGTTCGTCAAGGTTTGTGTTTCGGAGTTATAGAGTTGAGAGAGGGTTATAGCCACAAAATAAGTAGCCTCCTTGTCTGTAGTGGCCTTCTCGGCCTTGAGGAGGTGAAGTAAAATAAAAAAAGTATATATATATATATATATATATATATATATATATATATATATATATATATATATACATATATATACATATATAGATATATATGTATATGTATGTATATATATATATATATATATATATATATATATATATATATATATATATATATATATATATGTATATATATACATGTATATATGTATATAAAAATACATACACATGTGTGTTTGTGTGTTTATATATATATATATATATATATATATATATATATATATATATATATATATATATATATATATATATATATATATATATATATATACATATATACATATATACATATATACATATATACATATATACATATATACATATATACATATATACATATATATATAGACACACAAACACACATGTGTGTTTGTGTGTCTATATATTAAAATAAGATCAAAATTAAATCAAACCCTGATGTTTTGGTTTTTCCTAATAAAACATTTACTAATAACTATTAATAATTCTTTTATGAAAGTCCTTAAATATTTGGAAAATGCAATTAACTTAAAAAAATATATATAATTTAATGTGTTTTCAATTAAAATTAAGCATAAGTTAAATTTTTTAGATTACATATGAATACTAAAATATACTTCCTCTATAAATTCTTCATATAAAAAATAAATTCTAAATTATCAATTTTTTTAATTTTTATTTTTTACGTGTTAATTCGTCTCTCCAAGGCAATGAAGGCCACTACAGTTGAAGAGGTTACTTTTAATTGTGGTTACAACCCTCCCTTAACTCCATAACTCCGAAACACAAATCTTGACAAGCAAAGCAGCTGCGCTGAGAATCAAGTTGAGCGCAGTACCACTCAGAGACATGGTAGAGATTGAAATATTAATATTGACTCAAACCATCCACCCCAAGTTCTAAAACTAATCCCAATTTCAATTAATAACAAGCTAGATCAAAAATTTAGGTTCTCCAAAAGTATCTATGATGCTCTTCAAAAAGGAGTTTCTAGTATAAATTATACTAGAAACATACTTTGGTTTAACAGCACCCTCTCCAACATATAGTAAAAAAGATCTAACATCAGAAACGCATTTTTAAAATTTGTGGGTTAACATTTTCTACTCTTTAATTAATTATACAAATTTTTTTATGAAATTTGAAGTTTGCTAAAGTTGCACAAAAAATCTGAAAAAAATTATGAAATGATTACATATTTTTGTTTTGTTTGTTTTTTTGAATTTTATGGTATATGGTATATTTTGCTATACAAAACAATGCTATTATATCCAAAGATATTGGCTTAGTCAATTTAGATGAACTCAAAGTAGCATCTGTTATTGACCAACATCTTTGAGTACCAAAGTGCTTATTTTCTGAGTTGGCGGTGGTCAGATTTGCTATCTAAATGTAGAAAATAAATTTTTTCCACAAAAAATATAAAATAAAGATATTATTTTTTAATGTTTTCACTTCCAAAAAGGCTGCAAGAAACCACTATTAAAGTTGAAAGTTACTGGAAGAGATAAAGTTTATGGAGCGAGATAACAATTGGCAGGCGACTTGAAAGATTCAAATTTATATGAATCAGGAAAACAAGACAAAGGAAGCAAATTTCAAAGGACTTATGTTTGAGGAAAAAACTAGATGAATAAGAATTTTTAGAGCACTGAGGAACATTCACAGTAAAAGGATGAGACTTAATTGAATCACGAGTAACATGAGAATGAATTTTAGCAGGTGGTACAAGAGGCGCTAGCTCTTTAGAGCAGTGCCCATTATAGTATTTATAGAAAAGAGAAAGAGAAGCAACATTATGGCGATATGATAATGGTTTGAGGTTAGCTGCATGAGCAGGTCCAACTATGTTTGCAATGCTAGAAGATGAAGGGTAGATGACTCATCAAGTACATTACTGTTTGTAAATATAGGCAGATCCAGATTATTGCAATAACAATCAACTGAGCTGAATCTTCTGACACAAAATATTTTTTTTACTTTCTAATAATTAGTAGATATCAATTCGCGTCTCAGGAATATGTATTTTTGGACCTTTTTTTTTTTTTTGCCATGAAAATCACTCCTCCTTATTAAATATTTGTAATACATATATTGAGAAAAATTAATTTTACTTGAAAAAAACATATTTTGAACTTATTTGGTCAGGATATGACTTTTTAAAATTGTGAGGCCGTCTAGAGATCACTAATGATCGTTTTGAGCAAATGACGTTTTGACAACAATGAAAATACTCTCTAGCTTTCTATTGAGATTGGTTTTATGCAAGTTAAGGCATCAAGCAGATTTTTTTAAATTATTTGTAAAATTTCTAGTGTTCTCATACATTTGAAATTCTTTTATGAGGTTTTTGTTAGAATCTTTAGTTATAACACACTTTTTATATTTATATGCTGCATTTATAGCTATCGCCAATCTTACTTTAATATCTGTAACTGTTAAAAAATTATTATCTTTAGAGGATTCACTTTCAATTCCGGTATCGACATCACTGAATAATCTATTAAATTAGTCACTCGCATAATGAATTGCATCTTTTGAAGATAAAGGTAGTGAAATACATATTCCTGAGACACGAATATGAAATACATATTCCTGAGACACGAATATGAAATACATATTCCTGAGACACAAATTGATATCTAATTAATATAAGAAGAAAGTAAAAAAATATTTTCTGATTTTGATAAGCTCTTAGAAGTTCCTTTTTGGATTTTAATTTCTTGACAGGTCCTAATTTTTTTTTTTTTTTTTTTTGTCTAATGCATATCAACCTTGGACTCAAAATAAGCAGGAAAAAATGCATGTTTTATAAACAATAATTTTATAAAATGAAAAATTTTTGTAAAAAAAATATTTGCAAAAATATACCTTTTTAAAGAAAAAAATGACTTTTTTTTTCCTAAATCTTTAAATAAAAACAAATATTAAAAAATCAGCATATTCTTATGCTTCTTTTGAAAGAAATTCCAAAAATATGAGAATTGTGATTAATAATAATTCTTCATTGAGAATTATTATTATTCACAATTAATAATAATTGTGATTAAAAATAATTCTCCATTGAGAATTAAAAAACCAAAGAGGAATCAAAATTTTTTTAAATCACTCAGGAGTAGAATTTTTTAAAATTGCTCAGAAGTTGCAGTTGAATGTAAATCGTGCGTTTGGAGGTATTTAATCTAAGTCACAAGATCTTGATTTCCTTGCTCTTTAACGCGAAGAGACAGAGCTAGCAACATCTCTGAAATCATTGTTGTTCCGCAGGAAATTAAACAAAAAATTTAAAGTTGCACTGGCTGTTAGCAAATATCCATCGTGTTTACCTAATACTTCTGCAGCTATTTTGGTTGGTTGAAAAGCGTTGTAAACATTTTTGAAACTGAAAAATAGATATCATTAAATAGCTTTAGGGAGTTCAACTAAATGCTTTTTTTACTGTGTCCATCACTTTTAAAAAATCTTTTAACTTTCATCACAATGCTGTTCCATCTGGTCTGAAATCTAGCACTAAATTGAGTTCAATTCTGTGCTCTACTTTTACATAGTCTTGTAAAATGGAATTTTTTTTAGGCGAATATTTAAAAAACTTAACTATTTGTAAAGCTGCATTTATATCTTCTCTTTCACATTTTTACAGTTCAAAATCGTTTATATTATCATTTTTAGTATCGCTAGAGTGGAAAATATGTATTTGAAATTTATGTGTTTGCTTTGAATCATGTTTTACAACCCATTGGGTAGTATTTAGTGTTTTTCATTAGAAATAATGATGTTTATATTTGTTTTAAATCATGTTTAGTTAAAAAAAATTTGATTTGAAATATTCTATTTTTCTATATTATAGGTGACTTCTAAAGTCAAATTATACACATTAAATAGCTTTGTGGACATTATTATATTTTTATTTTAAATAAATAATTATCCTAATATAATAGAATATATTCACTCTTTGATTTTAATTTTTTCCCAAGAAATTATGGTAATTTTCCAAGGTAACAGGAAATACAAAAAAATTCCCAGGAAATCACAGTCGCTAATTCTCAAAAAGAACCCTCTCATGAAGAACCCTTTCATGAAGAACCCTCTCATGAAGAACCCACTCATGAAGAACCCTCTAATTAGTGTGCTCAAAGTTCTTAAACAAAAAGAGCAATAATAAAATAGTAAAAACACTTCTCTAATATTTGTCTTCAACAACTTGTTTCACCATCAGTAGGTTCATCAGGAAGCTTCCTGATGAACCTACTGATGGTGAAACAAGTGCATTTACTAATTTATATATATGTTTATATATAAGCAATATTATGAAGTAATAATTGAGTCAATTTGAAACATTTTTTTTAATGTTGATCTTTTTTGGCAAAAAAGACAAAATTTAAAATTTCAGATTAAAAGTAAGTGTCAGAGTGACTGTCAAAATCAAACTCTTGTAATTATAATATAGTTATAAAGAATCTTTCCATGGTTTCTAATGTTTTAAAGATTTCTAATGACTAATTAAATTATTATGGAAGAACTTTCTTAAATAAACTGAATATTATTATTTTTATAATTTATCAATAATTTTTGAAGTGTTGGTTTTAATGGTTGTTTCAATTTCAAGCACTGTCACAGTTGTGTTAGTGTACACACTTCTCATATCCAGTGATAACTGTATCCTTTGTACCGCAAACCAACTGTACCCACTGATCCAGTGATAACATGGTCAAGCAATGTGCAGGTTTCATGGCACTCAGGGAAAACCTGGAAAACCAGGGAAAAGTTTTAAAAATTTAGAAAATCAGGGAATACCTGGAAAAGTCAGGGAATATTTGTTAAAAATCTGTAAAATCAGGGAAAACTCAGGGAATATTTTTCAGTTTTATATTTAGCTTGAAGTTATTTTGCAAAATACACATTTTGAGTGTTTATTGTTGTTGAAAGTTGCTCACTAAAGTGGTTTTTTAACTTTTATATTATATAGTAACTATATGTTTAGCTAAATGTATAAATAAATATAATAATATAAGACATGACTTCAGAAAAGACTTATTTTCAAGAGGATTGGTTACAGCAAGATATTTATAAAGATTGGTTAGTTTCCGACGCACATGCAAAAACTAAAGCTCATTGCAATAAATGTAAAAAATCATTTGAATTGTCCAATATGGGTATTCAGGCTGTTAAAAGTCATGCAGCAGGTATTTACATAAACTTTTTTATTGTGAGAGTGAGAATTAAAAAGAAATGTTGCTTATTGATTCATTATTTTATATTTTAATATCAGTTTCAAACACATTGTAATCAACTTTTGATTGCAACCTGTTTCAAATGTTTTCCTTGTTGGTTGGTTGCTTATATTGTTATTTCAAACTTTGCAAGCTAAACAGATTGAGAAAAAAGATAAAAAATATTAGACATTTTAAATGTTTCATTATTTATTTATCTTGTTTTAGGTAAGAAGCATCAGTCCGCTACAAAGCCTGTTAGTTGTTTCTTTATTAATGGAAAAGAGTTGCATGCTGAACCACTTGGAAGTGAAGAAAAAATATCCACATTTTTCACCTAAAAACAAGCAACTATTGTCTCTTTAATTAAATCATCGTTATCAACTAATGCTGAGATCATATGGGCCCTAAAATCTACAATGAGCTGCTACTCTTATAACTCATGTGCAAATTTAAATGACACTTAAAAAGATGTTTCCTGATAGCAAGGTAGCAGAAGATTTCACTACGAGCACCTCAAAAGTATCATACATTATTAACCATGGACTAGCCCCATACTTCAAGACACTTTTAAAAGAAGAAATCACAAAGTCTGATTGTTAGATTTTATCTTTTGATGAGAGTTTAAACGACATAACCCAAACTTGTCAGATGGATCTACTTGTTCGGTATTGGGATGACAATGACAAAGTTAAAGTGAGATATTGGACATCAGCATTTCTTGGTCATTCTGCAGCTTCTGACCTTCTTACACATTTCAACGAAAACTTATCAAGATTTGATTCAAGTAAAATGTATCAAGTTTCCATGGATGGACCCTCTGCGAATCTGAAATTTCTAGATAATCTTAACAAACACAGAAAGGACAACGAGATGCCACAACTTATAAATATTGGAAGTTGCTCTTCGCATGTAATCCATGGTGCTTTCAAAACAGCTATCGAATCAACAACATGGAATATTAAAGAAACTTTAAAAGGGTGTTAGCAAATTCTTCATGATAGCCCAGCTAGACGTCAAGATTATGAAACAGTCACAGGTGCAACAAAATACCCTCTTTTTTTTTTTGCGGAACAAGATGGGTTGAAAGTAAATCTGTTGCAGATCCTTGCATTGAAATATGGCCTAATATGTAAGATGATTGAGTTTTGGGAAAAGTTACCATCTTTGAAACAACCTAAATCAAAAAGCTTTTTAAATGTAAAAAAGGCTGTTAAAGTCAAACTTATTATTTTAAAATTTGAAGTTTTCAGCTTTGTTGCAAGCATATTAGAGCCATATTTGTTGGCATACCAAAGTGACAAACCAATGATTCCATTCATGTATAGTGACTTAGAAAGACTGTTATGAACCATACTGAGCTTGCTTGTGAAACAAGATGTTATTGATAATAGTTGTATTTCAGTCCAACTAAAAGAAGTTGATTCATAAAAAAGATAATCTACTTAAAGGTAATCAAATCAAACTAGGGTTTGCAGCTGAAACAAGGCCGGCTGCTTTACGAAAGAAAGATATAATAACCATTGCTGATATTCAAAGTTTTCACAAAGGTTGCACTATGTTCGGTTACACTATGTTTGATTGATTGAAAAGTTCATGGACTGAACTCCACTAGGATCTATCATTGTACGCTCAGGTTCTTAACCCAAATGCAATGGTAGTAATGACTCAAGAAGATGATGAGAAGTATAATAGGCACACGAAAGATATAGAAGCTACCTAAATTCAATCGCAGACACTAACAAAAAAGAAACAAGTCAATTGGCAAAAAAAAGTTGTTAGCGATGAAATAAAAGATGTTGAAACGAGGCGAGATCAACTGAAGAAAACCAGTGAAATGTTGCAGTTTGATTTTGTAAAATTTGTTGAGGAAGCAGAGGAGAAAGAAGATCTAGGGTTAATTTTTAAAGCTAATGTGATGAAACGAAAAGCAAATGAAAATGAAGAAATAAAGAAATTAGAGCTAGCACTTTGCATCTTAGAGCAAAAAAGAAAGTTGCTAAAATAATATATTCGTTCTTACATGAAGTTTATATTTTGTTAACAAAACACATTAGTTTTTTCAAAACATATATAAAATGTTATTTTTTTAATATATTTCTTTTAGTTATCAGATTAATATAGCTTTGTTTCTTGTTTAAAACACCTCTAACGGATTGCTATAAATAAATTAAAAACAGTCTCTGATTTCGTAAAAAAATAGTGATAAAAAGTATTTAGGGAACAAGGATTCAGTTGCAAAAGTATTTTATTTTTCAACATTGATTGGCAAAATGTTTAGACTTTTCACCGCACGAACTCAGGGAAAAAATACTTGAAAATCAGGGAAAACTCAGGGAAAATGGTTTTTACAAAACTGCCATGAACCCTGATGTGGTGTAAAGGGAATCATAAGAAGTTTTATTGAAAACATTTTAACTTGAATCTAAATTAAGTCAGTTTATTGTATTAATGAGAAATTGTGCTAAAATTGCAAAAAGAGAATAGGTGAGAATAATGTATTGATAAAATCTAGTAAACATTACTACTTACTTCAGAATGCAGTTATATATCATAACATTTTTATAAGTTAGGGTATATAACTTAGTCACTGAGCAATAAAAAGGTAAAAAGTAGAACTTAAGAGCATCAATTCAAATTTAAGAATAATATTCAATAAGAAAATGGTGAAACATTCAAGTTGGTTAATGATTAAGAATGTTATGAACCTTCATTAAAGCTTTTAGTCTTATTAATAAATGAATTATTAAAGAAATTAAGATTAGTTATTGAATAATGACACAGTCAATGACTTAAATACCATATATGCAAAAGTTCATTCTAGTTTAACTACATCTTTTAGGTATCAATCAGAAAAATGCAACATTCTCTTCAAGAGCAAGTTCACTTAATTTTGAAAAAAAATAGGTTGTTGGGAAATTTAAGGTATTTAATTTTTTTATTTAAGAACATATTTTATATTTATAATTTAATACTTAATTTATTTAAATCTGTTTAGTAATATATGTACTAAAAAAACTATATACTAAAAAGTTTATATACTAAAATTTTCTTCAATTTAGTTCAAGTTCATTGTTCACTGTGTCATCACCAAACCAGCTGTTTGTACATGTTCATCCGCAACAAAAATGTCCTTCACCATCTTATTTTTATCTTAATGAAATGTTAAAAAACTCCATCAATATGGAATCAAGTATGTTGTTCTATATTTATTTTACAATAAACAAAAATTAAACATGGGTGAATGTTTTAATAACATAGGTGTTTGTTTTAAAATTTTTATCAGTTGTCCGAGCCGCAAGCTGTAGAAGAGTCTAAGCAGGAAATCACTTTAGATACAGAAGCTGGAGTGATACGGATGTCGAGCAATAGATCAACCTGTTTGACGGCTATATCAGGTAGAACGCAACTAATGGAATCAAGAAATGATATTGATGAAAAGTTCTTGGAAAACAATTCAGCTTTGTCTTTAGGTGAGGTGACAAAGTCTGAATCGTTCTAAAGGGGTGGAATTACAGACTTGCCCTTATTATTGATACTATTAAAGATTCTCCAGAAGTCACAAGAGCCTAATTTTTGTGATGAAATACAAGATTTCATGATCTGAGAATAGCGGGCTTTGGCGTTAGACAAAACCTTTTTACAATGGTTCCTAGCAGTAATAAACAGGCATTTGTTTTCTGGAGAATTGTTTTGCTGATAGATATGGAAGTAATGGTTTCGATTGGCAATTGCAGCAGCACAATGTGAGGAAAACCATGGAGAAGAGTGAGGCTTGACCTGGAATCGTCGAGAGGGAATAAAAGATTCCATGCCAGCCTGAATCCACAAAGTTATGTAAAAAGCACATTTGTCAACAGGAAGATAAAAGATTTCTACCCAGGGGCCATCACGAAGAAAATCACAGAAAGAGTCCCAGTCAACTTTAAGGTAGTTGTAAGATGTACGATGATAGGGGGATTCTGATGGCAAAGAAGAATGAGATAATAGTTTTAGAGAGACCAAACCATAGTCAGAAGCACCTAAGGGTGAGTGTGAAGAAACTGAGCACTGACTAGGATCAGAAACAAGACATAAGTCAAGTAGAGAAGGTAAACGATGTCTGGAGTTGTCTGGAGCTGGAAAGTTGACTATTTGAGTTAGGGATTGAAAAAGACAAAAGTTGTGGACCTTAATGCCTGCAGAATTACTGACACTAGAGCCAAGCCATTCAGTGTGATGAACATTGAAGTCACCGACAACAACAATATTGGCAATATGGATAAAGAATGAGGGCTTGGTTAATATAATCAGAAATAACTTCAAGAAGAGTGCAGTCTTGAGATGAAGGAGAGCGATATAGAACAATGAGAAAGGTGATAGAGTGAAGTGGTGCTAAACGAAAGCACATAAAAGATGCCCAGGCCAAGCATGTGACTATTGGAGTCTTTACGAATTAAAGGAAGATAACCATCAACACTAAGATCACAAGATGAGACAGCTGAACTCAAATTAGTCTCACAAAGAGCAAGTAGGTCTGGTGAACTTTGCAAGAGATAAGACTCAACAGAAGAGAAGTTACTTCGAAGACCACCAATATTGGTGAATGATAGGTTTAGCGAACTTGGTGATGACTGTGGTTTTTTTGTGTTTTATAGTTTTTGCTACTTTATTCATTTTTAAATTTGTTAAAGAACTTGACTCGAAACATAGATAGTACTCAGTACACTGTTTATATAGCTCAAGCAATTGCCTCATTTCCACTAATAAACCCTAAGCTGTAACAAAAGGCTCCAATGTGGCTTAGGCAACGCACACCAAAAGTACAAACAGGGACACCATCCATGCCCAACATGGCACTGTTAGTACTCTGATATTTTTCAGCTGTTGATGAAATCAGCCTCTCTGAGAGCTACCACAGAGTTCGGGAAACCTGACTACGAGCCGGCCTCAGAACTATAAAACTGAGTTTTAGAGCTGTACCCTCATTTGGAGATAATAGAATGAGTTGCCTAGTCATTAAAACAGAGACACAAGCAAAACCTATGAATTGAGTCAAGAAGATCCAGCGTTCAACATCCTAAACTGGAAACAATGTAATAAAAAGACATCTGCGCCAGCCTAATAGATGAAGAATCATTTGATTGATCAGTTTTTTAGAATGTGAAAGATATTTTGTTGATTGTTTATCTTAAAAAAGCTAAAATTAATAACTGTGGAATTATTTTTTGATGAGTTAAATAAAAATAGTTCATGGAAAGCATTTTTTATCAAATGAAGAAGATATTCATGGAACTGTATTTTGCTTCTTTGCTTCATTTAAGAGTTGGTATAAAGTTATCAAAAGATCAATAGAATTAGTTTGTTGAACCTAAGGAAGATTGAATGAAAAAAATAATTAGAAAAAACTAATTTAACATCACATGTTCTTTCTTTTTCTTTTTTTTTTTTTTTTTAAATCTTTTTAACCAACCTGTATTAAGTTTTTTTTATACTTGGCAAAGTTTTTAACTTAGGTTATACTTTTTTTATATTTGTTTGCTGTTTTTTTTTAGTTAGTTTAAGCTTCATAAATTTTGATAAGTTTATTTTTAAATATTTTTTAACAGTTTAAATACTTATTAAATTTTTTTCTTGCAAGTACGTTCTGTTTACTTTGGAAATAAGCAACATAGCAGTATAATTTCACAACCATCTCCTTTGAAACATGATAGTTCTGATAATAAAGATAGTTTGAGTTTGCGAAATTTTTTATTTAAACAAATTGATTACATGATGACTGTTGAGAGCAGAGAAATACCAGTTGAAGGGCGTCGCGGAACCCATGTTGAGGTAATTCATTTATCTGCAAAGTTTATTTTTTTATTTTAAAGTTTTGAAAATAAAAAAATTTTGCAATATTTTATGAAATAAATTTAAATAGATATTATTATTTTTTTAATAGCATGCCGCCTGTTGCCAAAATATTATTAGATTTATTTCACAACAATTGTATGTTAGTGGCGTTCTGGCTCCAAATAGCCTATGCAGGATTTTTCTAAAAAGACTTATTTTTGTGGAATTTTACTATATATGTTTGATCTGTAGGTCCATAAATATATGAATGCTACAGTTTATATTGATATTTAACTTTAAGAGAAAAGTAGCATTGCATTAGGTTATAAAAAGATTTGTGGATAGTTTTTAAGATGTGGAAAAGTCAATGTACATTTTTTAACGCCAGGCAGTTAATAATAAAATAACATGTTGTGTTGAAAAATATTTTTACAATGTTAAGTAACTGAGCAATACATAATCCAGAAATTATAAATTTATTGATATTATATATTAATCAAAACCAAGTTTTGTTTAAAATAAAAGTTTGCCTTATAACTTGTAAATCTAAATATTTTTTAAAGTGTTTCACTTTTGTTCCAGAAGCAGCAAATTTTGCTATTTTAGATAGATCCAGAAAGGTTATATGAAATTATTTAGTTGATCTTTTTGTTCATACAAAACATTTAAAATTGTATTTGCGTTCTTTCTAAACACTTAAAAGCATTAATTAGACTTTTTTTTTCTTTTGTTGTTTAGAATAATTTTCTTGCTTTGTTATCACCTTTTTGAATAACTTTTTATGTGATAACTAAAAAATAAAATGTTTTAGTTAAAAAAAACTATTTAATTTTTTAAGCATTCTTTTTTAATACTTGTTTCAAAAAGAATTTTGTGCAGACCTGTCAATCTTCAGTTTACTGAACTATTAAATTTAAATTAAAAAGTTTGTTTTTCTTTTTTTTATTACAAAAAAGATTTTTTTAGCAAATGGTTTTGCTATAGTTTATTAGTGGAAATGAGGCAATTGCTTGAGCTATATAAACAGTGTACTGAGTACTATCTATGTTTCGAGTCAAGTTCTTTAACAAATTTAAAAATGAATAAAGTAGCAAAAACTATAAAACACAAAAAAACCACAGTCATCACCAAGTTCGCTAAACCTATCATTCACCAATATTGGTGGTCTTCGAAGTAACTTCTCTTCTGTTGAGTCTTATCTCTTGCAAAGTTCACCAGACCTACTTGCTCTTTGTGAGACTAATTTGAGTTCAGCTGTCTCATCTTGTGATCTTAGTGTTGATGGTTATCTTCCTTTAATTCGTAAAGACTCCAATAGTCACATGCTTGGCCTGGGCATTTACATTCGTAAGAATTCACTCATTTGTTGAGAAACTAGGTTTGAATCCACAGACTACTCTTTTATGTGCTTTCCTTTAGCACCACTTCACTCTATCACCTTTCTCATTGTTCTATATCGCTCTCCTTCATCTCAAGACTGCACTCTTCTTGAAGTTTTTTCTGATTATATTAACCAAGCCCTCATTCTTTATCCATATTGCCAATATTGTTGTTGTCGGTGACTTCAATGTTCATCACACTGAATGGCTTGGCTCTAGTGTCAGTAACTCTGCAGGCATTAAGGTCCACAACTTTTGTCTTTCTCAATCCCTAACTCAAATAGTCAACTTTCCAACTCCAGACAACTCCAGACATCGTTTACCTTCTCTACTTGACTTATGTCTTGTTTCTGATCCTAGTCAGTGCTCAGTTTCTTCACACTCACCCTTAGGTGCTTCTGACTATGGTTTGGTCTCTCTAAAACTATTATCTCATTCTTCTTTGCCATCAGAATCCCCCTATCATCGTACATCTTACAACTACCTTAAAGTTGACTGGGACTCTTTCTGTGATTTTCTTCGTGATGGCCCCTGGGTAGAAATCTTTTATCTTCCTGTTGACAAATGTGCTTTTTACATAACTTTATAGATTCAGGCTGGCATGGAATCTTTTATTCCCTCTCGACGATTCCAGGTCAAGCCTCACTCTTCTCCATGGTTTTCCTCACATTGTGCTGCTGCAATTGCCAATCGAAACCATTACTTCCATATCTATCAGCAAAACAATTCTCCAGAAAACAAATGCCTGTTTATTACTGCTAGGAACCATTGTAAAAAGGTTTTGTCTAACGCCAAAGCCCGCTATTCTCAGATCATGAAATCTTGTATTTCATCACAAAAATTAGGCTCTTGTGACTTCTGGAGAATCTTTAATAGTATCAATAATAAGGGCAAGTCTGTAATTCCACCCCTTTAGAACGATTCAGACTTTGTCACCTCACCTAAAGACAAAGCTGAATTGTTTTCCAAGAACTTTTCATCAATATCATTTCTTGATTCCATTAGTTGCGTTCTACCTGATATAGCCGTCAAACAGGTTGATCCATTGCTCGACATCCGTATCACTCCAGCTTCTGTATCTAAAGTGATTTCCTACTTAGACTCTTCTACAGCTTGCGGCTCGGACAACATACCTTTTATAGTCTTTCAGAAGTGTTCTCCGGAGCTGTCATCTATCCTTTCAAAACTGTTTAACAAGTGCTTATCAGAGTCTTGTTTTCTAGCCTGCTGGAAAGCAGCATCTGTTATCCCTATTTTTAAAAATTCTGGAGAGCGATCTGATTCGTCTAACTACTGTCCCATTTCTTCCTATCATAAGCAAGGTTTTTGAATCTTTAATTAACAAACACTTAATCTCTTATCTTGAATCTCATAACTTACTTTCTGATCATCAATATGGATTTCGATCTTCTCATTCTACGGCTGATTTGCTATCAGTAATAACCGATAGGTTTTATCCCGCATTTGATAAAGGTGGAGAGGTTAAGGCCATCGCTCTTGACATTTCTAAAGCGTTTAATAAAGTTTGGCATGCTGGTCTTCTCCATAAGCTTTCTTCTTACGGTGTATCTGGAAACATCTTTGAGATTATTGAATCCTTCCTTTCCAATCGTAGTATAAAAGTTGTCCTCGATGGACAGCACTCTTCTTCTTATTCTGTAACCTCAGGGGTTCCTCAAGTTTCAATCCTTGGCCCTATACTCTTTTTAATTTACATTAACGATCTTCCAGATTTTCTCACATCTAAGGTGGCATTGTTCGCTGATGATACTATCATATATTCTTGTCACAATAAGAAGCCAACTCCCTCTGATTGCTTGCAGGGGGCATCTGAGCTTGAAAAGGATTTCACTTCTGCTATAGCATGGGGCTCACAGCGGCTGGTGAACTTTAATTCAGATAAAACTTAATTTTTTTCAGCCAATCGTTATCGCAATAATTTTGACCTTCCTATATTTATGAACGATAATGTACTCAATGAGTCTCCTTCCCTTCATCTTCTAGGATTAACTCTTACTTCTGATCTTTCTTGGAAACCTTATATTAAATCCGTTGCAAACTTAGCATCTGCTAAAGTTGCTTCTCTTTATCGAGCTCTTCACTTTCTTACTCTGGATTCTATTCTCTATCTCTATAAATCTCAAATCCGGCCTTGTATGGAATACTGTTGCCATATCTGGGGTGGATCTTCTAATGATGCCCTTTCTTCTTTAGACAAGGTGCAAAAACACATTGTAAACATAGTTGGACCTACTCTTGCAGCCAACCTTCAACCTCTGTCACATTGTTGTAATGTTGCTTCTCTTTCTCTTTTTTACAAATACTATGATGGGCACTGCTCTAAAGACCTAGCGTCTCTTGTGCCATCTACTAAAATTCATTCTCGTGTTACTCATCATTCAATTAAGTCTCATCCTTTTTCTGTTACTGTTCCTAAGTGCTCCAAAAACTCTTATTCATCTAGTTTTTTACCTCAAACATCAGTTCTTCGGAATTCGTTTCCTTCATCTTGCTTTTCTGATTCATATAATTTGCAATCTTTTAAGTCGTCTGTCAATCGTTATCTTGCTCTACAATCTTCATTTTTTCTCTCCCAGTAACTTCCAACACTAATTAGTGGTTGCCTGCAGCCTTGTTGGAAGCGAAGATGTTAAAAAAATATATATATATATTTCCTCTTTTGTCTTTACAATGACATATGTTTTTTTTTTTTTTTTTCTTTATGTGCCCCCAAGAAGACATAACGGTCTTGTCACAGAGCACTGCGGAAGTGCATTTAACCAGGAAATTCATGCCTCCTTACCATGATGCAAAAATATGTCCAGAGTTTGTTTTGAACATGGATCTCCTGCTTATAAAGCAAGTGCTCTAACAATTGCACCACGACCACATTTAACAATGTGAACTATTGTTATGTAGCATTAATATTGTAATGTTGCAATATTATTATCAAACATTGTTCAGACGATAAAAAGAGGAAGAGTTGTGATTAAAGTTCCTAGTAGCAAGCAGCATTGGTGCAATATTTATGTCAATGTTGGCCAAATGTTAACAATGACAATGTCAAAATGTGGACATTTTATAATGGTGCAAATATTGATTTACAATATTGTTTATATATGGACTGCATTATAATGCTAGCATATTTTTTTATCATAATCAATAAAAAATTAACCCTACCTCTACATCCACATGACTACGCTAATATATCAATTAGGAACACAAATATTTGAACATTATTTTATGAGTGTACAATTAATGTGAGTGACTATGTAATAAGAACATTATTTGTACGAGGGTACAAATAATGACCTCCTAGAAATAAAACATTAAAGTTTACAAAAAAAATTTTTACTGTGGAGGACTGTCCAGCACCCACGCCTCAAAATAAGAATTATTACTTACACAGCACCACCAGCAATGTACCCTCTGGTTTTTTTCCAGTCTCCCTGCAGGCCAATGAAACAATTTTTATTTCTCATTTGAGTTGTCTGCTGCGATAATCAGTAGTCCAGTGTAAGAATTTTTTCTGTAATTTTTCTCGGATGAAACTAATTATTTATTTTTTAATTTTAGTTTATTCAAAGCCGTGTATTTTATTTTCAATGAGCAAATTAT